ACTTACAGTACAGTATCGAGTACAGTCAAGCTACATACACGCATACAGATATACAGGACAGTCTTAGAGTAGTCAAGCTAAACGTGTGTACAGACATACAAGATCGGTGCAGTGGTACTCTGTAGAATACATCTTCTCAAGGCAAGGGAGTTAACTGACTACAAAAGTCCAGTTTTCACCCTCGACAAACTAGGCTGGAATTATGGAGTTATATTTAGCTGGACTAAGGAGTCTAAGCATAGTCCAATCAAAATCGCGTGACGAAATTGATATCTGGTTTGTAAGCTGCCATGCAGATAATCAGTTGATTGCAGGATTTGCAAAGCATGTATATACCGTCAACTCAGCATCAATAGATATTTTCCAAATCTTTTCATCATTTTAATCAAGGTTCTGACTTTTTAAGTAAATGCAAGTGATGTGAGAGGTGGAATCTGATTGGTCAATAGGAGGGACGTAGCAGCATAATTTGTATTAGCCACTGGTGGCGCTACGATCGAGCCCAGAAATTCCAGCCTAGTTCAGCAAGGGTGGAAATTGCATGTATATAGTCCGTTAAATCCCTTGCCTGGGGAAGATGTGTACAGTACAGTACAGAGTACAGTCAACCTACATCCATGTACAGACATACAAGACCGATGCAGTTGTACCCAGTACACTACAGTGTACAATGAAGCTACACACATGCATACAGACATACAACACTGGTGCAGTGGTACCCGCAGCACTGAGAGACAATGTCTAAAGCTTCAGTCCAAATATTTCCATTTCCAGCAGTGATGACAGTGGCGCTAACATTCTTCTGGAAGCATATACTCTCCAAGACTCTATGGCTTCAACATAGAAGTGAGATTCCATAACAGAGGAAATTGATTTTGAATGACGATTTCACATGGCGTAATATTTTGAAATCAGCACTTTTTTATCGTTATTTTTTTTTACCTGTCTGCTTATTTTCAGCAACTTTAAGTATTAATTTGGAGAATATTATGATGAACTTCGAGATCTGTCAGGAGAATGATCCACAAACAGTACGTGCATTGCGTCTACAATTCAGTAACAATGTGCCGTCTATAGACACATGATTGACAGATGTTACATTGTGAAATGTACAACAAAATAACTGACAGGTGATACATCTTCTTTTCACCTGTAATCACATTTTTCAGTGAAATTGTTACTTCCTGAATATGACAATAGAATGGCAAAATGATACATATGACAGGAGAATATTGGTCAACTGATAATTGTTGGTAATATATCATCTACTTGATGAATAAATATTTTGTACATGTGATCCTATATTGGAACTCTCTTTATTCTCGTTTCCAATAAATCAATTTCGAAACGAAGAACAGCCAATTTCATTTCGGCAGATGTTAAAACACTGAATACCGTCTATAATCATATTCAGAAATCATATTTTAGAAAAATAATTATTCTCATACAGTTTTTACAATTGAACAGCCTACTAATGAAGCCATTGTGAACAAGGTATTCAATACCTCTCGATAAGTCATGTGGAACATGAAAATTGATAGTGTTGAAGACCACACGTGTAATGAGCAAAACCATTTCATCAACAGCTGAGCAAAATGCAAGAACACATGCAATTATTTCTCCTAAATTGCAATGACAGAAATACCTTGAAAGGACTCATAAAATATATGTTGTTTCTCATCATTTGGAAATATATCAATTAAAAACATCAAAATTTATTGTTTAATCAAACAATTGGCATGAGGTGTGAAATAAGATTAAAATAAGTGAGTGAGTTGGGTTTAATGCCACTTTTAACAGTATTACAGTTATATCGCAGTGTGTCATCTTAATGTGGGAGGAAAGCCAGAAGTGATGCAGGTCTCAGACGTTTACGACTTTGGTGAAACTCACGAGCCTGGGTATGGTGCTGACAAACCTAGAAACATAATCGGGGAGAACCGGGATTCGAACCCACAATCATAGGTTTCTGGCGTGCCCATGGGACGCAACTCTGCACAGCGAATCGCGGCGCCTTAGACGACTGGGCCACCCGTGCCCCCCAGATTACAATGATATACATTTACATATATAAAACAAAACGTTTAGAGTCGACAAGATTTTTCGGATCAGGAAATGATGAGGAACAATATACATTCTAACATCGCGTAATGGCTCGTTACTTAGTTCTTGTAAATGCACAGGGGGAAAAAAATCAAAAAGGATTTTTTAAAATATCAGTACCCCAAGTACAACATATCACATTTGTATACAAGCAGAGCTTCCAACGAACATCACCTTGCAACTAGGGATGTCAAAAGATATTAAAGCTACTCCCAGATGAAATAACTTAATAAATTAATGACAACAGTTTTTGCATAAGTTTCACAACCACCTGTGATGTTTTTATAAAATGTACGGAAATTACAGTCATGGACGGAGAAAGCCAGAAAAAAATCTTGCTTTTCTTTGCATCCGTCAGGGTTAGCAGAAGACAACATCCTCAATGTGTCCAGTCGATGAGTTTCATAAAATCCAATGCCAATGGACTTCGACAGGGTCATCCTCAGTAATCCAGGGCATTATATCTACATTCTATTATCATAAACACCCCACACCCAATCACCACCACAGCTTTGTTTGGAACCCGTATTGCACAATGCTAAAAATAGTTGTCCAATGAAATTACCCCCCTGAGCAAGAGAAATTCTGAGCTCAGAGTTAGGAGTGATGGAGGTGGTGACCCCGAAGCTATAGTGGTGTATTGGTTGAGTGTATTATACAGGATGCCAGACAGTGTTTGTTGTTTACTTCTATTTGTGCCAGTCAACAACAAAGGCAAATTACACTGAGGAAAAAACGCACCAAAAAACCCATAAGGTGCGTTGTAACTTTATCCGGAGAGAATTTGTATTAACACTAACGTCATCAGGCCAAGGTCATTTATATGACCCTTAAAGTGAAACTCCATACAGCATTTAAGATGTAAATTATCAGCATTGAGGTCATTAGGTCAAGGTCAGTGATATGACCCTCAAGGTGAAACTTGATATATCATTTAAGATGTAACTTTATCAGAATCCATATCACCACTATGGTCTAACAGTGGTCTAGTAGTCTCGTAAATCATACATCCCAGAAAATAAGGTTAATTGTGTATGGCAATGTATTTAATTCATCCCAATAAATACCCCATTACGCTGCAATGTGTGTTATCTGAACAAACCGGTCTTTTACAGCAACTGAGAAGTAGCCAGTTGTCATCTGTTCTGTGATTGGTCCAGATAGATTGTCAACCTGTAACACGTTACCCAATTTTCATGACGGAGGTGGTCTTGTGTAACTGATCTTGATCAATGGATTAAGTATGAAATTTATGAACAAAATATGATCGTCAGAATAATGATTGGAAAAATATGCAATGATGCAGAATTATAAATATCAAACAAAACAATAACATATTTTTCTTAATCTTCACAACACTTGAAACAGTACTGGTAATTAAGCTCAAAGAAAAGTAGAACTCCGCTCCGCCAATCTGACAATACATCTAGCTTCAAACAAGTGATAAACGTATACCCCAAACGAATTATGTTGGAAACATCACAAAGCCTTTGAAGGCCATGAATTAGGCAAAACTTAAAATTGTTTTCAAAGTCAATTTCATGATGAAAACCCAGCAATAATAAACATTTAACAAATGTTGATGTTTATTTAGGACCCTTGCCAAAGCAACATATTCTTTTCTTTCGACTTTCTCCTCTGTTATGTTAGATATGCCTCGTGTTCTCATCATCGAAGCAGTCAGGGCTACGGCCTAGAACGCCATATCATCACCAAAAACATCCAATATCAAACTACCGTATTTCCTCTATTAGACGCTAGGCCGTCTATCAATTTCACAAGAGCTTGTTGACCAGGTGTGCATCAGAGACCCAGCATGTAATATTGATACGTTTTACAATTCCTGAGCGTGATCAGCAGCCATTTTTTATGAATCGATATGTACGCTATCGATGTATTCATACGAATGTTTTTTATTTGACAGGCTTAACATTTTTAAAAGAGGTTTCTGTAGCAAAAAGGAAACCTATTTTTAGCCAATCAGAATCAAGCATTCTTCAATGTCAAGGTAGAATAAACATTTACTAAATGTCTATGTGTTTGTTTGACCCTTCCGAAAGCAGCATCTGTAGACTTGCTCCAGTCTTGTTTTGTATTATCCATACCCAGATTTCTCCAGGAAACCCCAATGGCAGCCGACATGGCTGAAGTGATGCAGGTTTCAGATGTTTACCACTTCGGTGAAACCTACAAGCACGGGTATGGTGCTGACAAAACTAGAAACATAATCGGGGCAAACCAGGATTTGAATCCACAATTATAGGTTTCTGGTGTGCCCAAGGGACGCAACTCTGTACAGTGAATTGTGACGCCTAAGACAACTGGGCCACCTGTGCCCGCCCCTACAATATTACACGACTGAAGTATTGCCTCTAAACTGAATAACTTACTCTTACAAATTAATGACAGTATTTGAATTTGGCTGATGGAAGTATCAGCACTTCACTTTGAGCTAGTTCACCAGCACCTCACTATGAGTTGAGTTTTTGTGGAAAATTTGAGCACTTTCAATAAATAACATATCTGCGGGTGATTTGTCGTCACGGAAACATAAAACTTTCTGAGCAATGTCAGTATGTCATTTTAATCTTGACTGATATTTGACTGATTCTAGAAATGATTCCACAGTCGTTAATCATGTCAATCATTTTTTATGAATGAATCTCTTAAATGAATCAAGAACTAATAAAAGTAGTTGGTTATGACACATCCTCTTGCCTATCATCATAGCTATACTGAACAAAATAAAGTTAGGGAACATGAATATGTTTGCGGATATTTACTTGTGAAGACCGAGTGCACAATGTTATAGAACAAATATCATGCACAATATTCATTATCCCCAACTGATGAAATATCAGTCCACAAATATCTGAAACTGAAGGTCCTTCTCATTTCACAATCACAAATTATCAAGGGGAGATAAATCATGTAAAAAGATTTCCCACCACTAAAAATAATGAATAAGTTTCATAGTGATTTGAATACCATGAAGTATATATTCAGTGAATATTGCAAAAATATACTTGCTGGAATAATGTCTTACAAGTGCTTCCTAAGAGGAAGGGTTAAGATTATCATTGTTAATCAAATCACGCACATCATCATGATAACATTCAACATGGATTCCCATTCACCCCAAGTCACATACTGTTTTGATTATAGAGTTCATGAGAATTAATCCTTACTAAATGCATGTTTACACTGGTAAGGAGAAACAATACCCAGGTGGACACATACTGTCTGTCACGACACATCTAGATGAACACATTCTGTCTGTCACGACACACCCAGATGGACACATTCGGTCTGTCACGACACACCCAGATGGACACATTCTGTCTGTCACGACACACCCAGATGGACACATTCTGTCTGTCATGACACACCCAGATGGACACATGCTGTCTGTCATGACACACCCAGATGGACACTTCACATCTTTTCGCATCAACTCCATTAGAAGGAAAGATCCAGGACAAATTCTTAGATCATGGATTCACAAATTGACTTTCATGCCAGAATACACCTTGACGAAAGATCACACTTTTGCCGAACTTGGATCTGTTATTGTTTGTACTGGCCTCCGGCCCGCGATGGCGGGATATTTGGGGTCTCTATATGCTCTGGCAGGGTCTCCATAAAAATTGGGCCCGTTTTGGGGATTAAGTCTTGTGAAGGCTGTCTGCCTGTTGGCATTTGTAAAGTCAGGCTGAGTTTGGTACCATTCGTCCACATACTGCTGAGGTCCACGTGATGGGGGCCGATCGCGGTGAGGGGGGTCGGGATACTGCACCGCCCCCCGAGACTGTGGGCGGTCCCTCTGATGGGGGTAGTTGTTGTGTGAGAAGTGTGAGTGCTGACTCTGATCGGAGTAGCCGCTGGCGTCGCTGACGCTGGGGAACTGATGAAAGTTGGAGGCACTGTCCTGGGATCCCATTCGAACATGTGCAACTCTGTGGAGAGAGGAGACACAGTTTAGTCTACAGTGAGTGAGTGAGTGAGTGAGTGAGTGAGTGAGTGAGTGAGTGCTGTTTTACACCACAGTCAGCAATATTGCAGCTATATCACAGCCACCTGACAATAATTGAGTTTGGACCAGACAAACCATTAACAATGATCCCTGCCATTGGGCACGATTCCTTGCCCTTGTTCTAATCACAGAGCCAGTGGAGCCCTTTATGACCTGGAATCTCTACTAGGATTACAGTGACACTCTGATAGTCGACAAACTTCACATTCTAGAGGATTACAGTGGTTTTTTTGTTTACTCAGCAATATTCCAGCTATATGACGCAAATTTATAAATATTTGATTCCAGACCAGACAATCCAGTGATTGACACCATGAGCATCAATCAGTAAGAAACATCCACATGCACAAGAGAAAATGCTTGCTCATAATGACTGATCCAGACACTTGTTAATCTAGTTGTTTGACCAGGAATGGTCCTGTTTGAAAAAATAGGGGTTCCCTGTATGTTATCGAACAATGCATAATGTCATTTTGTGTTAGCACAAGCAAGAAATAGCCAGAATATTCAGGGAAAATCCAGATCAATAATTAGTTTTCCACGTAATCAAATGACTTAGTTGCACCACCTAACCATCCCTCCACTACCACCATACAGAATGCTGCCAATGATACCCATAAATATCCTTTGCAAAATTTCACATTTGAGATCTGACAAGTGTGAGAAGCTGAAATTGTCTATGCAAACGTCTAGACAATATGGATGACTAGTTTTTGAGCTAGCATATTAATAGAAATTGACCTTATTACCTGCCAAACTATGTTTAACAATGTCTCTGACATACCTCTCCATCTCTGTACGACTCGGTGGCCTGAGTCTTCCTGCCAGCTCCCTCTCTCTCTCCATCATCCTCTGCAACAACATCGGGCACACACATGTGATAAGTCATTGTAAACATACATGACATATATGTGAACTGCATCATTAACCAGGGTCAGGGGTCCATCAACCATCTGACCCATCAACCATCTGACCCATCAACCTGTCAATCATCTGATCATCAAACTGTTAACCATCTCTGATCCACCAACCTGTCAAGATTCTGATCCATCAACCAGTCAATCATCTGATCCATCAACCATCTTACTCATGGACCTGTCAATTATCTGACCATCAACCAACTTACCCATGAACCTGTCAATCATCTGACCAATCAATCTGTCAATCATCTGATCCTTCAATCATCTGATCCTTCAACCATCTGACCCATCAACCTGTCAATCATCTGATCCATCAACCATCTGATCATCAACCTTTCAACCATCTGACCCATCAACCATCTGACCAACCTGTCCATCATCTGATCCATCAACCTGTCAAACATCTGACCATCAACCTGTTGACCATCTCTGATCCACCAACCTGTCAACATTCTTATCAATCAACCATCTGAGCATCAACCTTTCAATCATCTGACCATCAACCTGTCAACCATCTGACCCATCAACCAGTCAATCATCTGATCCATCAACCATCTTACCCATGAACCTGTCAATTATCTGATCATCAACCATCTTACCCATCAACCTGTCAATCATCTGACCAATCAATCTGTCAATCATCTGATCCTTCAACCATCTGATCATCAACCTGTCAATCATCTGATCCATCAACCATCTGATCATCAACCTTTCAGCCATCTGACCCATCAACCATCTGACTATCAACCTGTCAATCATCTGACCATTAACCATCTTACCCATGAACCTGTCAATCATCTGACCAATCAATCTGTCAATCATCTGATCCTTCAATCATCTGATCCTTCAACCATCTGACCCATCAACCTGTCAATCATCTGATCCATCAACCATCTGATCATCAACCTTTCAACCATCTGACCCATCAACCATCTGACCAACCTGTCCATCATCTGATCCATCAACCTGTCAATCATCTGACCATCAACCTGTTAACCATCTCAGATCCACCAACCTGTCAACATTCTTATCCATCAACCATCTGAGCATCAACCTTTCAATCATCTGACCATCAACCTGTCAACCATCTGACCCATCAACCAGTCAATCATCTGATCCATCAACCATCTAACCCATGGACCTGTCAATTATCTGACCATCAACCATCTTACCCATGAACCTGTCAATCATCTGACCAATCAATCTGTCAATCATCTGATCCTTCAATCATCTGATCCTTCAACCTGTCAATCATCTGATCCATCAACCATCTAAACATCAACCTTTCATCCATCTGACCCATCAACCATCTGACCATAAACCTGTCAATCATCTGATCCATCAACCATCTGATCCATCAACCTGTAAGTCATCTGACCATCAACCTGTTAACCATCTCTGATCCATCAACCTGTCAATATTCTTATCCATCAACTACTGAGCATCAACCTTTCAATCATCTGACCATCAACCTGTCAACCATCTGACCCATCAACCAGTCAATCATCTGATCCATCAATCATCTTACCCATGAACCTGTCAATCATCTGACCCATCAACCTGTCAATCATCAGATACATAAACCATCTGACCATCAACCTGTCAATCAATTGAACATCAACCTGTCAATCATCTGACCCATTAACCATCTCTTACATCAACTATTTGGCCCATCAACCTGTCAATCATTTGACCCATCAACCATCTGATCTTCAACTTGTCAATCGTTTGACCCATCAACCATCTGACCATCAACCTGTCAATCATCTGATCCATCAACCATCTGACCCATCAAACTGTCAACCATCTGATCCTACTGCCAAGCACAACCCTTCAACACCACCAACCTTTCTCTCCTCTTCCTGAATCTGTCTCTCATAGAACTCTTCCACGTCTTCATGTGGGTACTGCCCCTGTCGTTCCCGGTGCTGTTGCTGATGCTGTACCCTAAGCTTTTGTATCTTCTCTGCCCTACTCTGTCCCCCTCGCTGTTCTCCCCCTCGGTCTGCCCCACCCCCACGGTCGGCCCCACCCCCACGGTCGGCCCCACCCCCTCGGTCAGCCCCACCCCCATGGTCGGCCCCACCCCTTCCACGGTCGGCTGGGTGAGAAAATCCTTCCTGGTTATACTGGGGATCATAAAACATGGGCCTGTTCTGTTGCATGAGCTTCTGCTGCTGGTCCAACAGCTGCTGTTGTTTTAGCTGCTGTTTCAGCTGCTGTTGTTCAAGCATTTCCATCTGCTGACGTCTTTTGGCTTCAAACTCTCTAATTCTGAAATGAGTCCATCATTCGGAATGATATTTATATTTTTCCACCAGTGCTTATCATCAGGGGTGGCTGTTGGGGGCATGTCATTTGTTTTGTTTGTCGTTTTAATGCCATACTCAGCACTATGCCATCTTATGACAGCAGTCTGTAAATAATCAAATCTGGATCAGACAATCCTGTGATTGACATCATGAGCATCGATCCACGCAATTGGGATACAATGACATGGACAACCAAGTCAGCAAGTCTGACCACTCGATCCCATTAGTCGCCTTTTACGACAAGCATGGGTTGCTGAAGACCTGCTCTGGTTTAAATAAATACTGAAGATATTAATTATCAATATTTATTCCATCTATACATATATAAAAACCGGCAACAGTCTAGCCAGGTAGTCATGTCAGCAATTGATCTACCATCAATGTACTAGCTGCCATCAGGCCACAAGAATCACAGGGCATCTTCAGCTGAATCAGTCTATTCACCCCAGTCCAACCTGTCTTGGTTTTCTGGTGTGTTTTTTGTGGTCTAGCACTGCACACAGCAATGTTCCAGCTATATGGCATCACACTGTAAAAAAATAAATCTGGACCAGACAATCCAGTGACTGACATCATGATCATATTATTCTTCACAATTGGGATACATTGACATGCATCAACAAAGTAGCGGGCCTGACCACCCACTCTCCTAGTGGTCTCTTATGACAAGCAAGGGTTGCTGAAGACCAAATTGGAACCCTGATCCTCACAGCCGCAATCCTACCTCTCTTGTTCCTGCTGCGCCAGCAAGACTCTCTCTTGATCCAACTGTCGGGCTCGGACATCGCTATCGGACGGTCGTTCCGCTGATCTTGACCTGCGAATATTCTCCTCACTGGATTTCCGTCCTTTGCTGAGCCTAAAGTAGAATCATTTGGATATATCCATCAACATGGAAAGTGAACTTAGTGAATGAAGACGCTATCATACATCGCCAATAGAGAGTACATTGGTTGAGTACAAAACTACCAATGTAGGTATGGGACTGAACCCAAGTCAATCAATCTAACAGGACTTGAAGCTCCCTTGAGTGTTTCCCCTGATCTCAAATCCTGGATGTACCTGACCTCTTACCCTGGGTGTACCACCTGACCCCTAACCCTGGGTGTACAACCTGACCTCTAACCCTGGATGTACCACCTGACCCCTAACCCTGGATGTACCACCTGACCCCTAACCCTGGGTGTACAACCTGACCCCTAACCCTGAATGTACCACCTGACCTCTAACCCTGGATGTACCACCTGACCCCTAACCCTGGATGTACCACCTGACCCCTAACCCTGGATATACCACCTGACCCCTAACCCTGGATGTACCACCTGACCTCTAACCCTGGATGTACCACCTGACCCCTAACCCTGGATGTACCACCTGACCTCTAACCCTGGATGTACCACCTGACCCCTAACCCTGGATGTACCACCTGACCCCTAACCCTGGATGTACCACCTGACCTCTAACCCTGGATGTACCACCTGACCCCTGACCCTGGATGTACCAACTGACCCCTAACCCTGGATGTACCACCTGACCCCTAACCCTGGATGTACCACCTGACCTCTAACCCTGGATGTACCACCTGACCCCTAACCCTGGATGTACCACCTGACCTCTAACCCTGGGTGTACCACCTGACCTCTAACCCTGGATGTACCACCTGACCCCTAACCCTGGATGTACCACCTGACCTCTAACCCTGGATGTACCACCTGACCTCTAACCCTGGATGTACCACCTGACCTTTACCCCGGGAAGTACCACCTGACCTCTACCCCGGGAAGTACCCACCTGATCAGCCCCTTGAGGATCCCCCCTCCTTTCTTGTCTTTGTGTTTCTTTTTCCTGAGACTGTGGAAGTCTTCATTGGTGTTTTCGCTACTAAAGGAAGACCTGGCAGAATTTGACTGGGTGTGATTGAGTGATCCGCTGTCCATGCTCTCCTCCTCCACTGAAACAGGAAGCGTGTGTCAATTATTCCAATTGAAGAAGTGTGTGTCAATCATTATTCCACTAAAACAGAAAATGTGTGTCAATCATTCCACTAAAACAGAAAATGTGTGTCAATCATTTCACTAAAACAGGAAATGTGTGTCAATCATTTCACTAAAACAGGAAATGTGTGTCAATCATTTCACAAAAACAGGAAATGTGTGTCAGTCATTTCACTAAAACAGGAAAAGTGTGTCAATCATTTCACTAAAACAGGAAATGTGTGTCAATAACTATTCCACTAAAACAGCAGGTAATTGTGTCATTATTTCACTAAAACAGTATGCGTCTACCAATGATTATATACTATATCAAGGTGGGTGTCATCCTCGATTTCATTAAAACATGTGTGTGTCAATCAATATTTACTGAAACAGGTGTGAGTCAAGCATTATTTCATTAAAATGTGTGTGTCAAGCACTATGCCATTTAAACAAATGTGTCAATCATTATTCCACTTAAACATGTGTATGTTAGTCATTATTTTATTGAAATGCATCTTTGTCAATCATTATTTCATGAAAATGTGTGTCAATCATTTCATTAAAACTGGAGTCCTGTGTCAATCATTATTTCATGAAAACAAATCATAATTATTTGGTGGTGGCTCTAAATTCATTGTGGATGAATAAATAATACCCAAATTATCAAAACATCTGATTTATTATTGATATTTATATTATTGTCTCAGAGTTATAAGAATATATGTTTTAAACAATATACCTGTACTACAGCGTCAAATTATCTTTCCAAAAGAACATGATTCTTAACTTTCACACAATATTAATTTTGTTTTAAGACACCATCAAAGATCATTGTCTTAATAATAATACTGGTCCAAAACAAATATCTTACTACATTTTCAGTATTGAAATCCATGTTTTCAGGAGAAGGAGAAATGTTTTGCACAGTCCATCCATGCAATTTCACTGAGACAACATCACAAACTACCAGCCTCATCTAGGGGAAAGGGGGACAACCTCCCAAACAGTCCCATGCAAACAACATGCACGAAAACAAGGCATTAATTAACATTCTACCTCTTAAAGGGGCTATCTAGATTGAGGATGTATTGCTTTCAGAGTAACAAACTTTCTGATGAAAACATATTTCTATCGTAAAAGATATTTGAACATTGCTCCCTTCCTTCTGCCGTGATATAAATGCATAATACTTAAAACATAATCATGAACATAAAATGAAACTGAAAATTGAAAAATGATGGAAGGTAACGCCCAGGGTATAAACTACTTATGACAGTCATAACTCCCGAAGTATAACAGACTTATGACAGTCATAACTCCCAGAGTATAACAGACTTATCATAGCACTATGACAGTCGTGAATCCCTGGGTATAACATAGACATACAGATAGATAAACTATTATATATATACTACCAACAAACAATAAGGGAACTAGTGATTTGAATGTAGCTATCATTGAGGTGTTCATTTACAATACTGAGGCTTTGCATCTGAACGCAACATCTAATCATGATGAAATGTCACATCATCCATGGACACCACATCATGCAGACACAGAAGCCAAAGTGTGCGTGTGTCTATAGTGGAAATCACAAACACTCATGCGACTGAGCTCAGCACACGCTCATAATGCCCCCGAGACAGTAGCTCAATGAACAGACAAAATGGAGAATTGTGGGTACCATAAAGTGGGAACGTTAATCTCCCAAGTTGCCCAAATGTTTGGCAAGTCAAAAAGTGTACTTTCTCATCTGTGGACAAGCACCAGGCAGCGAAGATTGGGGTTTGCTAGGCAACACCAGGGATGGGCTGTGTTCCTCCCATTCAGAGATGGCAGAAAACGTTGCTGTCGAGGTAGCGGCGAGCAGCATCCCAGGGCAACAATTCTTTACAATGATCAGTATTGGGGCGGTAGTATCACACACGACAGACGAACTGATTTCGTTTTTGTGAATGGACATTTGACAGGCAATCTATATGTAGACAAAATCTTGTGTCCTGCCATGGTTCCATTTGCTAGAATTATTGGCAGACATTTTCAACTGCAAGATGACAAAGCCAGACTACATCTTGCCCAGGTCGTCCCTGATTATCTCCGACGAGAAGGCACATGGACATTGGACTGGCCCGTTGCCCAGGTCATCCCTGATTATCTCCGACGAGAAGGCACACGGACATTGGACTGGCCCGTTGCCCAGGTCATCCCTGATTATCTCCGACGAGAAGGCACACGGACATTGGACTGGCCCGTTGCCCAGGTCATCCCTGATTATCTCCGACGAGAAGGCACACGGACATTGGACTGGCCCGTTAAGTCCACTGACATGTTCCCAATACAGCATCTGTGGGATGTTCTCGGGCAGAGAGAGTGTACGTCAGAGACCCAGCACCCGGCAACGTGGCCCAGCTTGGAGTAGCTCTTCAGGCAGAGTGGTGGGCAGTACCAAGGGCAACACAAGTTGATCATCAAGGTGGTCTGCATGTATAGCCTAACATGGTGGACACACCAGATATTGATCTATACGCCCAAAATGAACTTTTTAGACATTTATCATTTCATCAGTTCCCTTAGTTTTTATCGGTAGTACAGATTATTTTAGAGTGACATACTTAAAATGAACTTGTGCTAAGCTGTTTAGGGTGAGAAAGTAATTATTTACAAATATAATCTGCCATTTACTTACTCGTCCATCTCAGACAAGAAATGAACAGACATTAATTTTTCAAGTCTTGGCATAGCTGGTTAACGATGATTTTGCAAATCTTGGACTAGGGGAGTTATGTTGATTAAACAAGACTCTGCCGAGTGGAGATTTGCTTACAAATCTTGGATTAGCAGATTTATGTTGGTTTCACAAATCTCAGACCAGCCGACTTATTTAGAACGCTGCTGTTGAACTTCCTTACTTTGAATATTCTATTGTTCATTAGATGCGATGAATGAACATGAGTTAATACCACTTTTCAGTGTCTGTTCTGTTTTACTAAAAAAAAATTGATAGTTGAAACTTTAATATGACATACTAAAAATAACCTTTCCTTATGAGGGGGCACTGGTGGGCCAGTCGTCTTGCGTCCCTTGGGAACGCCAGAAAACTATGATTGAGGATTCGAATCCCGGTTCGCCCTGATTATGTTTCTAGGTTTGTCGACACCATACCCGTGGTAAACATCTGAGACCTGCATCATTTCGGCTTTCCTCCCACATCAAGCTGACACGCCGTGATATAACTGGAATACTGCTAAAAGCGGCGTTAAACCCAACTCACTCACTCGTATGATTGACTTATTGTTCATATGCAATGAACGAAAATTTGCAAATACTGAAGAAAGCAAATAACATTTTTAGTACTTTTCATACACATTTGCATCTTCCTGATTAATAGCAAGTGTTAATCAAATCATCAATCAATGACAACACTCAGTTACCATGGTTACTGTCAAATTTTAGTCAAACCAAGTGATCAGCTCATCACACATGTTAATGCCAGGCTTCAAGACAAGGGAGATAACTTCCGATTACTTCCTCACAGGACAGGGAGACAGTTACAGTTACCATGACAACACAAAACAGAACCTACACCACTGGGACAAGTAAAAAAGTCTTACCATAACCAGCTGCCAAATAAAAAACAACAGTTCCACATCATGAGTACAGCAACATGGATAATATCCAAGTAACGTCACATTTAGACATTGCTTTTCATGCACACCAAAGTCAAACTAATAATTCCATGTTATCTAATGTTAGCTTCACACACTGTACGTGTGGGGAAATAAACCCAGGTTTTCGGTGTGACAAGAGAATGCTTACCACTAGGTCAATATGAGGTGAAGTGAGGTGAAATGGGTTTTAACGTCGCGTCCCAAGATTATTGCACTTATATAGCGACGTGCATGCACGTGTGTGTGTGTGGCGGCTTGTACTAGTCCGGACTGATGCCGATTTATAGTGCTAGCTCACTGAGATACCATGCTGCAGTTTAACATGAATACCCCACTCAGACACAGTATACTGACTCCGAGCCGACCAGTCCTTGTTTTAGCCCCTTAATGCCGAGCGCCAGACAGGGTAACAAGTACTATCTTTTAACGTCTTTTGGTATGACGCGGCTGGGGATCGAACCCCGGACCTTCCGCTCTCCGGGCGGACGCTCTACCATTAGACCACGGAGGCGGTCTTTGTCAATATGAAAGATCAGCCTTAGAAATTCTGTCTAATTAAGTGCTGAGGACTAGCAGGGATTAACCAGTACCTAGACCTGCTAAGAGGCCGATAGTCAGTAAATGTCAGTAACAATTCATAATTTGAATTAAACATTTCCTAATTCATGCTGTTATGATATAAGTTGTTGCAGCATCACTCGGGGTACATGGGGTTTTATCCGTCCCGTGTGAGGTTTTATACCACGAATCTGCTACCTTTATCTTACCGACATGTTTTACTATGACATTGTAAAAGAATTCAAACAAATTCATAATTGATAGATAACAGCTGTTCGATTGTGGGGAGGACAGGTCAACCATTACTGGATTTTTACTTGACCTCAGCACAATTTAGTAGTCCCGGGCTAGAGTACTAGCGGGAAGTTTTAAGGCTGAATCTTCTTTTATGGAAAGATTCTGAGCATTACAAATAAATGACAAAAATGACTTTCTGGGCTCATGTTGGCTGTTCCACAAAGTGATCACAGCACTTGGGTGAGTGAGTGGATGAAATTTGGTGCTGCATTTACCAATAATCCACCAACGTCACAACCCTTGAAGATCCGGGGTAGAATAGGTCTTCCGCAACCCGTGCTTGCCGTAAAAGGCGACTTTGCTTGTCGTAAGAAGCGACTAAAGGGATCGGGTGGTCAGGCTCGCTGACTTGGTTGAAGCATGTCATCGTGTTCCAATTGCGTGGATTGATGCTCATGGTATAAATCACTGGAATGGCTGGTCCAGATTCAAGTATATACAGACCGCCGTCATATAGCTGGAATATTGCTGAGTGTGGCGTTAAACAATCAAAGAAACAAAACCTACGTCACACAAACCTGCAAACAGGTAAACCAGTGGGCGATGGCCCTTATCAAGGTAACTAACCAATATTTGGGCACCAGTGACACAAGCGTGGATAAAGGTGTTTGGGAAAGGAGGCGTGCATTTGCTGATTAGCTTTGTGATCTTCATTGGGTGCATCACGGCAAATGGATTAAAAGTGTTTTGTGGCCATTGGATCATTGAAAACTAGCTGACTTTGGTGGCACGACTAATGATAAGCACACTGATACGTTAGTGCTGGATTATTGAGTACAATAACATGAACACTGAAACATCTTTTAAAGTCAACAACATCTGCTACATACCATACACACTGCACATTGGAACAAGACATTTTTACAAATACTCTTTAATCCTTTCACAAAAAATCTTCCCAACAAAAGTCACTTTGAAATGTTAGTTGTGTTAATATGTGACCTTCATGCCGAAATCAACCTTGTAGATACTACTGTCCCCAAAACAAATATTAATTACATAAAAAACGATTAATATTTAGACAAAATGATAAACACTCTGAAAATCCAAAACAACTGTTGTCCTAAAAGTTTGACAAATTAATAGGTCTTACATGTGTCCATAACGTTGTGTTCCGATGTTGGTGCATCATAGGACCGATCTACAGCAGCCCGGAAACTATCATTGCAGGCTCGAGGTCGCCCAATGCGAGCAAATCTCCACGTTGGTATCTCCTCCACTTCCATCTGAGGAACATTATCAGAGGCCAAGTCTTCGAAAGAGGACGATCGTTTGAGGTTTGACTGCCGAGTCTGGGCTTGAGCAAAGGGGCGGTTGTGCTGACCTGAAACATGTCCACATTAACAGATGTCTGCAAGTCTGCGACTTCATTTTAACCAAATAATTATTAGTCACAGTTCGCAAGACATGGTGCAGACCTGTTATATCACTGTGTCGGCTTAAAAACATTATCAACAGGGAGAAGAAAGGTTGTTTTTTCCACACAATGTCGCAAAGCTGGCTCAAATGTTTTAAAGAATTGCTAGTTTTTCTCAAAAGATTTAATTCTTGAAAGTTATCACAACAATTGTTCAGGTTTATGAACCATAAAACGTTTGAATTATTTTGTCCCTGGTAATATGTGTTTGTGGTATAGCGACTGAGTGAGTGAGTGAGTGAGTGAGTGAGTGAGTGAGTGAGTGAGTGAGTACGGTTTTACGCCGCTTTTAGCAATATTCCAGCAATATCACGGCGGGGGACACCAGAAATGGGCTTCACACATTGTACCCATGTCGGGATTCGAACCCGGGTCTTCGGCGTGACGAGCGAACGCTTTAACCACTAGGCTACCCGACCGCCCCTATAGCGACTGAGACAGTTGCTGAATCAGGAAATACAACTTGTGGGGCCTAAGTGACATTGCCAGGGAGTGACCACGGATTCCACTTGTCTTCATAACAAATTATCTTACGATAATGGGTGATGCATCTTGTAGCATAAGATCTAAAACATTCTTAACACTTTGATACTTTAGAGGGTTAAAGACTTTCTAGCTCCAGCAAAGGAAGGGCATGGCATACAAATCCATGGATCAATATACGGATGTTTTCCCCCGAAACAGCATAATAGACTATCCCTGTCTTCAATATGTATAAATATAGATTCAATAAACTATGAATACACTGTACATGCATATATCATATGGAACTAATACATGAAAGAATTGGTTCATGGTTTGAAATACATATATGCATCTGTGTTTGGATATGCAGATATATACGTCTTAGATTCAATCATTTAGTGACACAAATGGTTTATTAAGTTGAGTGATATATTCATGCATCTGTATGTGGATAGACCGATATATCACGTCTTAGATCCCATCATTTTGTGATATGATTGGTTTATAAACTTTTAAAAGCGATATATTCATGCATCTTTATGTGAATAGACTGATATATTACGTCTTAGATCCCATAATTTTGGAATATGATTGGTTTATTAACTTTAAAAAGCGAATTATTCATATATCTGTATGTGGATAGACCGATATATCACGCTTTAGATCCCAAAATTTTGTGATATGATTGGTTTATTAACTTAAGCGATATATTCATGCATCAGTATGTGGATAGACCAATATATCACCTCTTCGATCCCATAATTTGGTGATATGATGAGATCAAATGAAGTGACCAGCACGCTCTTGTCAACTTGGGCAAACTGTAGCCATCTGGCTGAATGTTATGTCATATATTGGGCTGGATGATTAACTTGGTGTGTGTCCAGTGTAGCAGCGCGGGGTTGTATGTAGACAGCTCTATTCACAGAGCTGCAGAGGTCTAGTTTAACCTCATACTATCAAGTAGACAAATACCATTAAGACCCCTTGAAGTCATGGTTGGGGGTTGGGGGTTGGGGGTTGGGGGTTGAAGATTTGGCTGGATTAGAGGCAAACTAACAGGACAGCTTGATGCTTTGATTCAATAATTTCACAAAATGGGTCATTTTAAGTTTTAACTGTTTAATGAGTTTGAAATATTTTTGAAATTTCAGGCCACATATTAAGAGAGCCTTAAAGTTTCACTATTGCACATGAGTTGGGGGTTGGGGGTTGGGGGTTGGGGGTTCGGATTGGTGTTGCTAAGGATTGGTGGGGATTGGTTGGGGTTGGTGCTGGAAGTGTTGGGGTTGGTGCTGGGAGTGTTGGGGTTGGTGCTGGGAGTGTTGGGGTTGGTGCTGGGAGTGTTGGGGTTGGTGCTGGGAGTGTTGGGGTTGGTGCTGGGAGTGTTGGGGTTGGTGCTGGGAGTGTTGGGGTTGGTGCTTGGAGTGTGGGGGTTGGTGCTGGGAGTGTTGGGGTTGGTGCTGGGAGTGTTGGGGTTGGTGCTGGGAGTGTTGGGGTTGGTGCTGGGAGTGTTGGGGTTGGTGCTGGGAGTGTTGGGGTTGGTGCTGGGAGTGTTGGGGTTGGTGCTGGGAGTGTGGGGGTTGGTGCTGGGAGTGTTGGGGTTGGTGCTGGGAGTGTTGGGGTTGGTGCTGGGAGTGTTGGGGTTGGTGCTGGTGGTGAGGGGGGTAGGATGGGGAGTGTGTGTGGGGGATTTAGTTTTGGTTTTGATCAGGATCTGGGTGGGGTTTGGGGTTGAAGTCTTGGTTGGGTTAGAGGCATGGTTTGGGGTTTTGGTTCAGTTCGGGATGTGGTTAGGATTGGGTTTGAGTTAGGATTTGGAGGATAGGACTGGGGCTGGGGCTGGGATTGGGACTGGGGCTGGGGCTGGGGCTGGGGCTTTGGCTGGGATTGGGACTGGGACTGTGGCTTTGGCTGGGATTTTTGGCTGGGACTGGGATTGGGGCTGGGGCTGGGCCTGGGGCTGGGGCTGGGGCTGGGGCTGGGGCTGGGGCTGGGATTGGGTTGGGGTTGGGGTAAGGTTTGGTGTTGGTGCTGCAGATGGGGTTGAAGTTGGGGTTCAGACTGGGCTGGGCTGGGCTGGGCTGGATATGTGGTTAGGATTGTGTTTCTGATTGTGGATGTCAGCTTAATGTGGGGGGGAAGAACAAAATGACGCAATTCTAAGAAGTTTAGCATGGTGAAACTCATGTATAACTATGGACAAGGCTCCCTAATTTAGTGCCAGAGAGCTGTGTTCTGGCTGAAACGGCCAACATGATAGCATTGCTATAGCGTGGTCAAGCGTGCTGGTCACTTGGTGGTCAGTGTACATACTGGGGTGGGTGGGTTCATGCAGATTGTTGTTAGTTCTATTTGACAACAGCGACTCCATGGAACCACTGGGTTTCAGTCTCGGTGAGTCTTCATGCAAGTCCCAGGGCTCAGTCAGGCCTGTTGGTAAACACATGCTTGTCAGCAACAATAACAAAACAACATTGCTCATACATGCTTTAAAAACAAAACTCAATATATACAGTGACCAAACGAACAGACTAACAAGCAGCACAGCATAATGCTTTTTTTAGCTGATTAAACAACAATTTCAAATAATGGGTCATTTAATTTTTTTAAATGTTTAATGAGTTTGAAATATTTTTGAAATTTCAGGACACATATTCAGAGTGCCTTAAATTTTCACTTATGCACAAGAGAGCCAGGACATGTATGGTAACTGATTAGAGGGATTGAGTGTGTGAGTGAGTGAGTGAGTGGGTTTGATGCTGAATTGAACAGTATTTCAGTCATTGTGTCAGCTTTATGTGGGAGGAAAGCCACACGTTATTATTAACAACCACCACTTTGGTGAAACTTGTTGGTACAATGCTGACAGATCATAATCGGGGCCAATCTATGATTTGAAACCACTGATCAAGATATCCTTGCACAGCAAAGGGAAGCAACTCTTCAGAGGGAATTGTCTCAGAATGGCATGAGTTAGACATAAGTAACCAAAGTATAACAAAATACCCACATTATAAAAACATTAATAGTAAAGTGTTACAGTGTTTGTGAATTGTTGCATATACAGCCTCATATAATGCATATAAATGGAGTGAGTGAGTATTGTTTTATGCCGCTTTATAGCAATATTCCAGCAATATTCCAGCAATATTACAGCTGGGGGCACCAGTAATGTCAGGTAAGTGGAACCAGGTCCACTTGCACAAAACGATGTTAGAACTACGTTGATCGTAACACTGACACTCTAACATAGACTTATGATAATAGTAGCGCTAAGATAGCTTTGTGTAACTGGGCCCTGGTAGGCCGTAATATTAATATTAATGTGTTACAGTGGTCGTGAATTATTACATGTACGGTAAAGGGAACAGGTAGGTGGTATCAAGGTGTGATTATTCTATGAAGGGACGTCAGTGTACACTACCTTGTATATCACAAAGCAAGTTGGTATATAAGGATGTTGTTATATGGGAAAGCATGATGAAACTTGGTATGGATCGCATAATCAACAAAAATATCACAACATGAAAATATACAATATTCACATAGAGGTAATGTCAAAAGTCCATATATCCTTTTCATTGTATTTCACATCTGATTTTGAGATAGGTCCTTTGAAAATATTTAACATATTTTTTCAAATATGTTTATTATTGAAGTGAATTTGAAATTAGAATACAAGCTTTTGATATTTATGGCTGCATCATGGACAGACATGGAGTATAATTAATAGCTATTAACACACAACTAACATGACAAGATGTGAATATGCTGTAGCAACATCATGATGCATGTGTGTATATTCAGCTATATACAACATCAATCAAATGTACATATCACATTCCGGGACTATCCAGGTGTGTATATTGTGCTATGTACAACATCAATCAAATGTACATATCTCATTCCGGCACTATCCATGTGTGTATATTGTGCGATATACAACATCAATCAAATGTACATATCTCATTCCGGCATTATCCATGTGTGTATATTGTGCTATATACAACATCAATCAAATGTACATATCACATTCCGGCACTATCCATGTGTGTATATTGTGCTATATACAACATCAATCAAATGTACATATCACATTCCGGCACTATCCATGTGTGTATATTGTGCTATATACAACATCAATCAAATGTACATATCTCATTCCGGCACTATCCATGTGTGTATATTGTGCTATGTACAACATCAGTCAAATGTACATATCTCATTCCGGCACTATCCATGTGTGTATATTGTGCTATATACAACATCAATCAAATGTACATATCTCATTCGGCACTATCCATGTGTGTATATTGTGCTATATACAACATCGATCAAATGTACATATCTCATTCCGGCACTATCCATGTGTGTATATTGTGCTATATACAACATCAATCAAATGTACATATCTCATTCCGGCACTATCCATGTGTGTACATTGTGCTATGTACAACATCAATCAAATGTACATATCTCATTCCGGCACTATCTATGTGTGTATATTGTGCTATGTACAACATCAATCTAATGTACATATCTCATTCCGGCACTATCTATGTGTGTATATTGTGCTATGTACACCATCAATCATATGTACACATCTCATTTCAGCACCATCAAAGTGCTACTTGCAAGAGCCGTGCAACCAAGAATCTTGGTCAATGTTTGATGCATGTAATTTTAAATATATTATTAACACTGATTAGGCTACAATAATATTATTTGCCCATTTTAACTACTTTTTGTTCAAATTTTACTTATGGAAATTTCAAAATAAGGTCAGTGTAGGACAGTGTAACTAACCCTGAAACACAGAGAACCCATACATTAGTGAGTGAGTGTGTTGGGTTTAACACCGCTTTGAACAGTATTCCAGTTATATCACGGCGTGTCAGCCCGAAGTGATGCAGGTCTCAGACGTTCACTACTTCGGTGACCCCACGAGCATGGGTATGGTGCTGACAAACTTAGAAACATAATCGGGGCGAACCGGGATTCGAACCCACAGTCATAGGTTTTTGGCATATAATTTTCAATTTTTTGTAATATGAAATATACACACTTATTGTAGAGAGATTCTGAGAAGATTCCACAACTCTTTATTGACTCATACCGATATCTATTTGCTATTGGCATCAATGCATATCCTTGGTGTGATGGACAGTAAACACTAGTCCGCGCAGGGAGATACAGATGAGATATTGACATGATAGTGACATTATATCAACATGCTATTGACCTGATATCAACATGATATTGATATCAACATGATATTGACCTGATATCAACATTATGTCGACCTGATATCAACATTATATTGACCTGATATCAACATGATATTGACATCAACATGATATTGACATGACATTGGTATATTGATACAATATTGACATGCTATTGACATGCTACTGACACTGTCATGCAACCCTTGTTAACTGTGTATGTCAATGATTCATTCATATCACAAAATGCAAAACTTGTTGATTTCTTGCACTAAAGAGAAGAACATGTTGTAATAATCTTTGATTTTGAGTTTTGATATGACTAAGGGTTATTTGCAGTAGATTAATTCATATGCAAGTTAGGGACTAAATTCAGTAACTGTTACAAATCTACCATGCAAGATTAGTCACAAAAGTGAGTCAGTAAAGTTGTTTTCTTTACTTTCTTGTACTGAAACGTATGACTGAAGCTGGAATTATTATCACTAAGTCTCATCACAGACATGCTACAATCTTAACCACAGAAACTAACACAACACACAACTACATTATTTCTGGTTGCCATGGTAACCACGATAATTGTTAAGATGCTGAAATTGGTGATTAATTCCAGCCTATAAATACGGCTAAAAACACCAAAATAATTTAACAATTTTACAACACAAATAATTTAGTTCACAAGTCATCAGAAAAGAAAGTTTGTCTTTTACAATATCAAACCAAGTCAATGGACACTTTTTTCAGGCAAGCCAAAATGGAGTCTTACATTTGTAACGATAAAAAATTTTTGATTTCCCAGACAAGCATATGTGCACGTGTCAAGTGGCGTATCATTTACACCAAGCTGACAGTCGAACGATTTTTCTGAGACCTTGGCATAATTCTACAAAAATTGCCTGTCAGTGCACCAGTAATCAATGGAAGGAGAAAGACTGACTAACAAACAGATGGCTAAATGCTATGTCACATGTGCATTTCCTAAGGTAAAACTGAAAAATACTAAATCATAATTTCGAGAGATTTGAAAGACTTCATCATTTCTTTGGTATAAAAAGAACATTTTCAGTTTTTTAAAATTCAAGAGCATCATTACGAGATGATGGTGAAACTTTCATTCTTGCCACTGAATATGCACACAAGACATTGCTTTCAATGTGGTGGAACGGTCATGGAGATGCATGTGGGTGGACTCCTCAGAGCGTCAAGGAAATCAAGAAAACCCTTAACCTAGAATTATCAGTCTGTGCCTAATTTTGTAGCTTAATTTCTGCAGACTATTTTTCATACCTCCCTAACAACTAATTACAACAAATCAATGCTGAGATCCCTTGTGGGATGATGCCCTGATCCTTATAATTATTCAGGGCTAAATGTAAACAGTGTTCAGGAATCTCATCAGGTTTTTTGTCACTTTATTTGAATTAACACATTTTTTAGGGAAATTCTTCACGAAGTGTTGGGAGCCAAGTTTTACCCCGCACTGCATCTGGAGTAGCGGTACATCGAGGAGCGTTATGTCGAGGAATCACTGTACAGTCAAGTCCCGTTAACCCTACATGGCTGGTTGCATATGATTTTGTCGGATTAACGAGTATGTCGGATAAACGAAATTTAGTAGTATCAACGTTCGTGATCGAAAACACGACAACTACAGATAGATAACAATACAAACACTAACTGTTCATCAAGTGAATATTGTTTAGCAAGTTTATATCTGCAGCCGTTGTAATATGCAGCAATCAGCCGACTCGTCTTGCATCAAAACACGGGCTGGGTACTTGCGGGCAGATGACCACGGAGTACGCTGATCACTGTGTTGGATTAACGAGACTGATTAAGACGGATTAACGGGTCTAAATAGCACTGATTTAATTGGTTCCCATCATTAGTGTCGGATAAAGCCGATTGTCAGATAAACGAGTGTTGGATTAACGAGACTTGACTGTATGTCGTAAATCTAAGATAATGTTCAGTAATACAACAGTCATAATGCTTAGATCTCTTGTAGGATGAAGCCCTGAGCCTTCTACTTATTGATGCCTAATCACGGCAGTCCACCCCGGGGTCTCCACAACCGTTCCACCTGATGCAGACTGACAACACTAAACATTCTCTGCACGGAGACTGCATGATGTGAGAAGTTAGAGAGATGAAGAGCAAGATGTTGCACAGACTCCTATACCTGATACATGAAATGACTGAACTCTCCGAGCCTGAAATTTCTCTGAAATGACATTGACAGATTGAGTTGAGCGACCTGTTGGAACACCCAAGTACCAGAAACGGTGGACTATTAGTTCCAACATGGCTAAATGTGAGGAATAGAACTGAAATCAAACACTAAAAATATGGCTAGCTAGAAATAAAATCATGTCAGGGACTGGTAATTTATCATGAAGGGGAGGTAACTGGTCGAAGGGTTGTAATATTTGTTGTAGCAGGATCACGATGGGTACATGGGGTGTTATGCATCCCGCGTTGGGTTTTATAACAAGGGATGCATAAAACCCCATGTAGCCCCACTTCCCGCGTTGGGTTTTATAACGAGGGATGTATAAAACCCCTTGTACCACGAGTGATCCTGCTACAATGAATTTATCTTACAGACATGTTTTAATATGACATTGTAAAATCATTCAAATAAATTAAAATTTGATAGAAAACAGCTGCTTGATTGAACTGAGGTTAGCTTGCGCTATGTCATGTGACATTCATTGGCTCGGAAATGGTGTGCAGCTTTTTGCTTTGAAGCGGGGTATAAAAGATTTATTCTATCTCTCCGAAAGCATGTGCAGCCTGTAGTACTGGGGTGGGGTATAAGAGATTTATTGCCCCGCTGAGACTTTATTTCCCTCCAAGGCATGTTACACAGCATTTTATCAAGAACACTTGGACCAATCAGATCTCATCATTCTGTCATGGAGGTATGATAACATATTTTGTCAACTCCCTCCATTTTATGAAACATTTTTTCATCCCCTCCCGAAATACATATTTTCATGACACCGCCTTCCCTATAATAACTGACCAGTCCCTAAATAATGTTCTTATTTATAAATGACCAGTCCCTTAACTGCTGATATTTATATTAATCTAGAATATATGGAAAGAAAGCGGATTAAAGAATTACCGATTATGTAATATAACTGTATTAATACTGCCTATATCTATGAAAAGAAACAGTTTCTAAATAATTGGCCAAAATAAATAAATAGACGGGAAATCAATCTCAAAATAAAACTATGACATCCTGAATGCATTCCTGAACATAAGTGCACTCTCTTTCTAATCTGTACCTCATTACTCAAACATCCATAAAATAAGACATCCCAAAACAAGAAAATCAAATATGAACAATTTTTCGGGAACTACACAAAAAAAACCTGTTTTATTAAGGATTAAAAAGAAACAATATATCTTCAAGGTGCAGGTGTGTGCTTTGATGTTTTTTATAACAAAGAAAAGTACCTTTGGTGTCCCTTGTTTCCTTGACTCGCTGATAGAACTCGCTTCCCCGAGGGTCGATGTGACCTTTCCGTTTCTCTGACATGCTCTGGCGCCCAAAGCCTTCTCTGTGGAACTCAAAGTCTCCTGTAGGGCTCCTGTTGAAAGATTAGACAGAATCCATGTGAGTGAGTGAGTGAGTGAGTGGGGTTCTATGACTGAATATATATGGTTCTGAAAATACAGAACAAGTAGCATTTATAGAGGTGATGTTTTGGATTAGTATAAACTAGTTTGAAGTTTTCACAGGGATTTGATATTGAAATCTCACAATATACATTGAAGATGGTTAATACTGATAAACAGACACAGTAACATACAGCTGGCTAGACACAGTAACATACAGCTGGCTAGACACAACTGGCTACACACAGTAACATACAGCTGGCTAGACACAGTAGCATACAGCTGGCAAGACACACAGTAACATACAGCTGGCTAGACACAACTGGCTACACACAGTAACATACAGCTGGCTAGACACAGTAGCATACAGCTGGCAAGACACAGTAACATACAGCTGGTTAGACACAGTAACATACAACTGGCTAGACACAGCTGGCTAGACACACAGTAACATACAGCTGGCTAGACACACAGTAGCATACAGCTGGCTAGACACAGTAGCATACAGCTGGCAAGACACAGTAACATACAGCTGGCTAGACACGACTGGCTAGACACAGTAACATACAGCTGGTTAGACACAGTAACATACAACTGGCTAGACACAGCTGGCTAGACACACAGTAACATACAGCTGGCTAAACAGACAGTAACATACAGCTGGCTAGACACAGTAACATACAGCTGGCTAGACACAGCTGGCTAGACACACAGTAACATACAGCTGGCTAGACACAGTAACATACAACTAGCTAGATACAGCTGACTAGACACACAGTAACATACAGCTGTATAGACACACAGTAACATACAGCTGGCTAGACACAGTAACATACAACTGGCTAGACACAGTAACATACAACTGGCTAGACACAGTAACATACAGCTGGCTAGACACAGTAACATACAACTGGCTAGACACAGCTGGCTAGGCACAGTAACATACAGCTGGCTAGACACAGTAACATACAACTGGCTAGACAAAGCTGGCTAGGCACAGTAACATACAGCTGGCTACACACAGTAACATATAACTGGCTAGACACAGCTGGCTAGACACACAGTAACATACAGCTGGCTAGACACAACTGGCTAGACACAGTAACATACAGCTGGCTAGAAACAACTGGCTAGACACAGTAAAATACAGCTGGCTAGACACAGCAACATACAACTGGCTAGACACAGCTGGCTAGACACATTAACATACAGCTGGCTAGACACAGAAACATACAACTGGCTAGACAGACAGTAACATACAGCTGGCTAGACAGACAGTAACTTACAGCTGGCTAGAAACACAACTGGCTAGACACAGTAACATACAGCTGGCTAGACCCACAGTAACAAACAGCTGGCTAGACAGACAGTAACATACAGCTGGCTAGATGCACAGTATCACACAGCTCCTAGACACACAGTAACATACAGCTGGCTAGACACACAGTAACATACAGCTGTCTAGAAACACAACTGGCTAGACACACAGTAACATACAGCTGGCTAGACATACAGCTGGCTAGACACATATCTGGCTAGACACACAGTAACATACAGCTGGCTAGACACATAGTAACATAGTACAGCTGGCTAGACATACAGCTGGCTAGATACACAGTAACATACAGCTGGCTAGACATACAGCTGGCTAGACATACAGCTGGCTAGACACACAATAACATACAGCTGGCTAGAAACACAACTGGCTAGACATACAGCTGGCTAGACACACAGTAACATACAGCTGGCTAGACATACAGCTGGCTAGACATAGTAACATACAGCTGGCTAGACATACAGCTGGCTAGACACACAGTAACATACAGCTGGCTAGACATACAGCTGGCTAGACACAGTAACATACAGCTGGCTAGACATACAGCTGGCTAGACACACAGCTGGCTAGACAACAACACTTACAGTTCATCATGCTCCTGCAGTTCGCTGCTCCAGTCACTGGCTGACTCGCGATGGTGTTGGCGGTCGTTGTAGTCCTCCAAGCTGGAGCTCCGAGAGTGGGAGGGGGAAATGTGGGGGATCCCCAATGTGGAATGGGGCCGTGGCGGTGGCTGCCGCTTCTAGAAAATATAGATTGTCATGACTAGCAACATAAATGTTTCGCTACGGTGGTGATTGTACATTTACGGAACTTAATCTGCTTACTTAAAAGACATCATCTAAAAAGAAGATCCTGGATCTGGAAACACCAAACTCTAAATTGAAGGAAAGGAAATTCCTGTAAAAATCATATTAGCTTTTGCATCCCTTGGTTTAATTCTGAACAGAAAGCGGCCCAAAAATATACACACTTTCACCTATCTGAGTGCATGACTGTCTCAAGACCAACACTGCTCGACTTATTCTAGACCAAACATTGTAAGACTTACACTAGACCAAACACAGCTAGACATACACCAGATTAAACACTGCTGGCCTTTTCAAATGGAAAATACCCCTGATGGAGGGGCTAGATGACTTACTCTTGGTATGGCATACATATCATCCTCAATGATGACAACATCTTGTCGTATAGGTCCACCCACTTTACCCGGCTGTGACGGCTTGGCAGGGGAACTCTCCGGCGTCACCTCGAAACTTTCATGCGTTGCCCTGTTGTAGGACTCGTTACGCAACCCATTTCCGCCATCACCAGTAATCAGCCTATCCACAGCCAAATTGGAGGGCTTAGTCCTATTAACACCATTTGGCTGTTCATTCCCGCCAGCATCAGACCTTGTTCGGACAGACTTATCTCCCCTTGTTTGACCAGAATTATCTCCCCTTGTGAAGATGCCATTATCCCCACTAGAGGACCGACTATGACTCTTTTCCCCATATATCGTTATCCCATGGTTAAGCACTTCAAACTGACTTCCGTCGGTTGTGTCCAGTGAATTTTCACTTGATTGAAACGGAGAAGGAGCACCGATTTTCCTAGCAACTGTCAACAAAATGAATCCACACATTGGTCCGTCAATTTGCATGGCACGTCGAAGCTGATCCATGGCCTTGACATTGGACATGTTGGTCAGTGGGATGCCGTGAACCTCTAGAAGTTGGTCATTGATGAGCAGACGTCCGTCCTAGAGGAGGAAGGCAGAGGGATCATAACATAGCATGATTTATCAAATAGATTTACAATAGCTGTAATGACTAGTGTTCTAAACAATAGTCCTCATTCTGATCTGCCAATCACAACTTCATCACATTTTCGGTACATTCCTCTAATTACAAGTATCTACTTATCAAACAATTCATACTGTATTAATTCGAAGGATGTCTACTGTTCTGTTTAAAGCAATGAACCTTTTCACGATAAGTATTCCTAAAACCTTATCACGACAAAAATAAAGTAATTTGAATAGCACATGAAGCAATATTTACTGGATAAACAAAATACAGATTTCTTTCTGTCAATGAGTGAGTGAGTGAGTTTGATTTTACGCCGCTTTTAGCAATATTCCAGCAATATCACGGCAGGGGACACAAAATATGGGCTTCACACATTGCACCCACATGAGTAATCGAACCCAGGTTTTCAGCATTATGAGCGAACGCTTTAACCACTAGGCTACCCCACTGCCCCCTTTCTGTCAATGGTATTTTAAGACCATGCATGAATATATATCTAACAGTATTAATAAAATCTAACACTGGAAACAGTTTCATACACAAAGGTAACTGGTGGTAGTGACACAAAACTGGATAAAGTAAGACCTCTGAAAACAAAACAGCTGACTGTAACCTCAAGTTGAGTAAAAGGCTTTCTCAAAACTCTGAACCACAACACCATGCAGGTTAATGGCAAACCAGACTATGATGTGATGCTGACACAGGAACAATGACATTCCATACAATGCCATGACGCTCATGGTGTTTGAATATTGGGTGGTACAGTCTACAGACCCTATAAGTTTAATCATGTTTAGGAATTGTTCCCTAACCTTACTGACAGTGATAGCAAATAGGTGACTACATCGTAAATGGGCTTCACATCCTAGAGCCTTGTTAGTGATTTAATTAATGTTTTGCCTTGTCTGTGAACAACTGTAACCCATAAACCCATGCTACACCTGTCTTGTCCTAGCTACACCCGTCTTGTCCCAGCTACACCCGTCTTGTCCTAGCTACGACCGTCTTGTCCTAGCTACACTCGTCTTGTCCTAGCTACACCCGTCTTTTCCTAGCTACACTCGTCGTTCCCAAGCTACACACGTCTTGTCCTAGCTACACCCATCTTGTCCTATCTACACCCGTCTTGTCCCAGCTACACCCGTCTTGTCCTAGCTGCACCCATCTTGTCCTAGCTATACCCGTCTTGTCCCAGCTAAACTCGTCTTGCCCTAACTACACCCGTCTTGTCCTAGCTACGACCGTCTTGTCCTAGCTACACTCGTCTTGTCCTAGCTACACCCGTCTTTTCCTAGCTACACTCGTCGTTCCCAAGCTACACCCGTCTTGTCCTAGCTACACCCGTCTTGTCCCAGCTACACCCGTCTTGTCCCAGCTACACTCGTCTTGTCCTAGCTACACCCATCTTGTCCCAGCTACACCCGTCTTGTCCTAGCTACACTCGTCTTGTCCTTGCTACACCCGTCTTGTCCTAGCTGCACCTGTCTAGTCCTTGCTCCACCCCTCTTGTCCTAGCTACACCCGTCTTGTCCTTGCTCCACCTGTCTTGTCCTAGCTACATCCATCTTGTCCTTGCTACACCCGTCTTGTCCTAGCTACACCCATCTTGTCTCAACTACACCCCTCTTGTCCTAGCTACACTCGTCTTGTCCTTGCTACACCCGTCTTGTCCTAGCTGCACCTGTCTAGTCCTTGCTCCACCCCTCTTGTCCTAGCTACACCCATCTTGTCCTTGCTCCACCTGTCTTGTCCTAGCTACATCCATCTTGTCCTTGCTTCACCCGTCTTGTCCTAGCTACACCCATCTTGTCTCAACTACACCCGTCTTGTCCTAGCTACACACCTCTTGTCCTAGCTACACACCTCTTGTCCTAGCTACACCCAGTCGTCACTTACAGTCGTCACTTACTGTCAGCTCTTACAGTACGCTCTTACAGTCGGCTCTTACTGTCGGCTCTTACAGTACGCTCTTACTGTCGGCTATTACAGTCGGCACTTACTGTCGGCTCTTACAGTCGGCACTTACTGTCGGCTCTTACAGTCGGCTCTTACAGTCGGCACTTACAGTCGGCTATAACAGTCGGCTCTTACTGTGGGCTCTTACTGTGGGCTCTTACAGTCGGCTCTTACAGTCGGCTCTTACTGTCGGCTCTTACAGTACGCTCTTACTGTCGGGACGGCACTTACAATTGGCACTTACTGTCGGCTCTTACATACAGCTCTTACAGTCAGCACTCACTGTCGGCTCTTACAGTTGGCTATTACAGTCAGTTCTTACAACAAGCATAGGGTGCAAAAGACCTTTTCTGATATGAAATCCCCAGGAGTCTGCAGTTACTGTTGGCTCTTACAGTACGCTCATACAGTCAGCTCTTACAGTCGGCTTTTACAGTCAGCTCTTACAGTCGGCACTTACAACAAGCATAGGGTGCAAAAGACCTTTTTTGATCTGAAATCCCCAGGATTTTGTTACAAAAATTAAGGCCAACACAGTTGGTTTTTTCTCAAGGTCACCCACTAAAGCATTTTTCATATTCAGCAGCCATTGTGAACACAAAAATACATAAATCACCCAATAATTAAACGGACAGGCTATTCTCTGTTCCACCAGTACCTTGGAGGCTGCACCACCATTCATCACAGATTTAATGAAAATTCCTAAATCTTTGGTTCCCTCTGCTGTACTTGATGTCTTTCCTTTGACGCTGACGCCGAGCCCGGCTGACCCGGTGTCGTTTAGTGGGATTTCGAATTTGATCACTTCCTTGTTTTTCATGTTAGGGACAGCGGCATCCTCCACTGTAGCTTCCCCGGGCTGCAAGACAGGGGGTGTTTTTTCATCGCTCTGAAAGTGAAGGAAGGGCGGAGTCCACAATGTACATGCAGCTACCACAACGCACACAAAGGGAGGTAACTCTCAGCAGAAAACAAAACTTGACAAGCAAACAGATTACTGTACTCAAAGTATTTAACACCTTGCTCCTACTACCACCCAAGAATATTAATAGACGATATAGTATGCTACATCACCATTTAACCTGTAAGATGCTTTGCATCTATCCTATCAGACGGAATGAATATTGCCCTAGCACCCGTTCCACAAAGCAATCTTAGCGCTAAGACTGCCATAAGTCTATGTTAAACTATGGCAGTTACAATCATCTAAGCACAACGATCGCTTTGTGGAACAGGGCCCTGGTCAGGAATCAAATCCAGGTCTTTAGGATGACTTACTATAAGCAGCTTCTGCAACAACCCAAGTAAGACATGAACAGACTCCTTCCACAAATACTCTCTCTAGTGAGAGTATATCCATTAAATCTGCTAAACATAATCATTTCTCTACATAGTGGGTTCGTGGGGAAGGATGCTTTCAACAGAATTTCAGTTACATCACAGCCTGTCAACTTCAAGGGGAGGAAAACCCACAGTAATGCAGGACTGTTTACAACTTTGGTGAAATCCTCTGCCACAGGCGTGGTGCCGACAAACCTAGGATCTGTGCAAATCTTGGATTTCAACACAAAAAAATAGGATCTTGGCACACATAAGGGACACAACTCTGCACAGTGAATTGCAACACCCAGAAATGCTAAGCAACAAGCAGTTCCTCATTAATTCAGTTACAACTCAGAATACCCCCGCCCCACTCTCCCACTCAAGGAGTAAGCACTGGTTAACCAGTAGTGGATAAACAACACTACTTATCCCCCCTCAAAGAGTTCCCACGGCACTTGATACTTTGAGTACGGTATCATGCAGAGGTGTAGGATGCTTGACAAAACTTGCCACTGTCTTCTAAATAAAAACAATCTGTGATAAAGGCATCATGAGGTGCTGTTTGCGTGATGCTAGAAACAGAATCAAAACAGCAAAAACAATTTTAACCGAGTAGAGAGATTTGTGAACATTTTGCCAAACATTTAAAATATTTCAGACTTTTTTTTTAAGACAGCTTTCATGGTTGATTTGAGGCTAATCAGCCACATAAATACTGTTAAAATAAAAGTTTTAAATCTTTTGCAATATTCAAAATATGTTTGTAAAACAGAAATATCTATTATTCTGACCTCAGAAACATCATATTAATCTCAATTTTTACACTGATAAAATATTCATAATATTTTTCTGGTATTTCTCTTGCTTTATCTTATTAATCAATAAGGATGATGTCTTTATCACTTAAACTACTCTAGCAATGGAAAAAATGAAAAAGCAAAATCATAAAACTCTCTAAAACTCTTTTAACTCAAAACATGCCGACTGGAAGAAGAGTAAATTTTTTATCTGCAAAACAATCCACTGAAACAGATCAGCCAGTTGTTGATTATAATTTAGTGTTAAATTAATTATTAACCATGTTAGTGTTTTAATGTGCATAGATACAATGTCAAAACAGCATTTCTTAGAATGAACATTAGTGACAACAATAAATAAGCAAACAAACAAGCTCAACCAAGGTTGGTAGAAAGCAAAGAAAATGACCTGATGAAAGAATGTAAAATTAAAGTTAACAAAACAATTTTTTTAGATGAATTTGGATGCCAAAACTGAAGATTGATTTTCCCTAACATATATCCTAAAGAGGGGTGTGGAATAGTAAAATAGGTGAATTAATATCCACTCGTCAGCTTATAAACACAATCTATTTCTGCTTGTGCATTGCACTTTGTGGCCAACTGTGAAACCTGGCCTTGGACTGCAGGCACCAGTAAATGAACAAATCACAAGTCAATTATTTGTTCAAGGTATGCTTGAATCAACAATCAATCATATAGTCCGGAAGGTAATTTAAGGTACCGTCGTTTACTACGATATCTGAAAAACTATCCGACCTACTCCAGTCAAAACTGGTATGAGCTTATTAAACAGTCATACATAACTGGATATTACATTTCAAGACAATCGGTGCATGAATAAAAAATCAGTCAATTTAGCTATCACTATATTTCATCAACAACCAGACCTGTTCGTCACGGGTGGAACGAGCATTCACTGAAACAGCCATCTGCATAATGCTACCCCTGCGTTCCAGGGCCATATGACACAGTTGAACCAATCAACTCAACTCGAAAGGGTGCACGGGAATCATGCACGCACAAATACAGTGTTAGGGTTGGGCGTCTCAACGTTGAAAGTTTGAAAAAACCCATTAATAATGACAATGGGGGTGGGTACACAAGGTTTTCCAAAACATCCATCCTAGGACTTGTGCTAACGAAGCAATCACACAGGCCACTGGCTTTAAAGGACTCAGGAAATATGTATTCTACAAAACATTGGGAGAATAAAAGGAATACTCAACAAAACAATAGAGAATGAAGAGAAATATATCTTCTACAAAACCATGGAGAGAGAAAACAACAAGACTGAAATGACATAAATATCACAGAGATACAGAGCAGGGCAACTTGGCCGTTCCAACAGGAAGCAAGATGGTTACAACAGCGGTGCCACACAACAAACATTTCTACAGGCAGTAGAGTAGCGGGGACTCCTCCTTACAACACGTTCATTTCGGCATGAAGAGAGACATAGCATGGCATGGAATGGAGAAAAACAATGTTGATTGCTGTCAATCACCCATGACATGCCGACTTTTGGGTGTAAACTATGGCTTTATATCATCAGGCAGGGAGAAATGACCTTTTTTTCCTAAATGGAGAAATAATCATATACACATGGATTTCAAAGTTTCCTTTTGGTTGTGATGTTTTGATGTTCTTACTAAAACATGTGCTTGAGAAAGTAAATATTAGTATCATCAACAAAATCTCCTACAAAAAACAAAACCACTGAAAACCATATATTTCAACTTAAGCACCAACAACCAACCCAGTGCTAATTGAAGACATACTGAGCGAATGAGGATTTAAGCAATAGTCAGCAATATTACAGCTATCTCATGTGAAATGTCCATGTCAGTCAAACCAGTGGTTGATAGCACGAGCAACCATCCGGTAAGGAGTAAATGAGTATGGTTTTACGCCGTTTAAACAGCATACCAGCAAAATCACGGTGGGGGACACCAGAAAAGGCTTCACAACATCGTACCCATGTGGGGAATCGAACCCAGACCCTCGATGTGAAAAGCAATCACTTTAACCACTAGGCTACCCCACCTCCCCATCAGGTCAGGAAGTTTTGTTTGTTTGTTTGTTGTTTAATATCGCACTCAGCAATATTCCAGCTATATGACGGCGGTTTAATAAACAAGTCTGGACCAGACAATCCAGTGATTGACATCATGAGCATTGATCCACGCAATTGGGATCGATGACATGTAACAACCAAGTCAGCAAGCCTGACCCCCCTATCCCGTTAGTCGGTAAGGATGTGATGGCACACAAAAGCCATGTCAATCAAACCAGTGGCCGATAGTATGAGCAGCCACGTGGTGATAATGGAATGTCACAGCCGATGATTGTCTATCATGGTCACCATCCTATTAATAACCATTCAGCAGCCATTTTGACCAGCCAATCCCCCACTAATCTGTTCCTACAGCAACATCAGCCATCTTGAGTTTGAGATTCGGATCAATAACGAGATGATGAATTATTCAACCTGGGGCCTCATGCACTGCTGCAGCCATTCATGGACATTAATGCTGTGAAATAAAAACCTCATAACGGCAAATAATAGTGAATATTGCAAGCATCATATTGAAAATGTGAATGGTTCCTAACACACAGACAAATACTTCCAACCAAAGCAGGGAATGAACGCCAAAAGCATAGGATGTTATTGCCTGTCACTCAGGGTCTTCCAAATTAATGCTGGGAGCAAATTTCCCCAATAACGTCCTGTTAGTTTCAAGTCAGAACTAAAATATGATTAATAAATTTCAGTAAAAACAGATCAACTCCAGTGAACCAATAAAAAACTACAACTAAAAGTGCATGTTCTGTCAAAAATATCTATTATTTTCGATACACTAGAGAATAACATCAGTTGATGTCCTACCAGCTCTCGGGGCATGCGAAACAGCTCGTCCACAACTTCCTGTCTTGACACGACCAGATTACACATGTGGCCTTCTGGGATACTTCGCAACTGACTCACAGCCTCACTCTGGGACTTGCCTGTCATCTCCACGCTGTTCACCTGGATCAACAGTGGTTGTAAACGATAAAACACGCTCCCGAGGGTTTGGTGGACAATGTAACTATGAAGGTTTGCTAACATGCATCTTTCCAATACATAATGGGGATTATGCAGGTGTACTATATACTTAAAAGAACAAATACACCATTAACTGTTGTTAATGCAACTCAAATTTTCTGAAGGAGTAAGGGAGGTAACTCTTCTCTTTTCAAACAATCAGTCATGCTCAATTGAGAGGTTTGTGACAGTATACTACTCAAAAGAAGTGGAGGACTACCCGATTCTTTCATATTACTATAGTTTGTCCGTTTACTCATTCGTTCGTTTGTTGTTTAATGCCGCACTCAGCAATATTCCAGCTATATGACGGCGGTCTGTAAATAATGGAGTCTGGACCAGACAATCGAGTGAACGACATTATGAGCATCGTTCCACGCATTTGGGATACGATGACATGCATCAACCAAGTCAGCGAGCCTGACCACCTGATCCCGTCAGTTGCCTCTTACGACAAACATAGTCACCTTTTACGGCAAGCATGGGTTGCTGAAGACCTTTTCTAACCCAGATCTTCACGGGTCAGTCGGCTAGGTACAAAGGTAAGGGGCATAGTCGTGGTAAGGTGAGTATGATGAATTATAAAAGACCAAATAGACTTGAGCAAGTCTAGGTGTAGCCTAGGTGAAGTGAAATGGGGTTTAAGGTTGCTTTCAAGATAATTGCACTTATATTGAACCACCAACCTTCCATTCTCTGGGCAGATGCACTATGAACTATACAACGGAGACATTCTTTCATCAAAGGAAACCACAGCGACCTCCAACAATCTGTCCCAGGGCTTAACATGGAGGTCATTGTGTACCCTACTTTATCATTTCATCAAAGGAAACCACAGCAACCTCCAACAACCTGTCCCGGGGCTTAACATGGAGGTCATTGTGTACCCTACTTTATCATTTCATCAAAGGAAACCACAGCGACCTCCAACAACCTGTCCCGGGGCTTAACGTGGAGGTCATTGTGTACCCTACTTTATCAAAGGAAACCACAGCGACCTCCAACAACCTGTCCCGGGGCTTTACGTGGAGGTCATTATGTACCCTACATTAACATTTCGTGAAAGGAACCCACAGCAACCTCCAACGACCTGTCCCAGGGCTTAACGTGGAGGTCATTGTGTCCCCTACATTAACATTTCGTGAAAGGAAACCACCCACACTGACCTCCAACAACCTGTCTCCTGGCTTGAGTCTTCCGTCCTGCACTGCTGCCCCCTTGGCTAGGATGTTCTTGATGTAGATGGGACTCTCCCCCGTGGGGTTGTCTCTCGACGTGATGCTGAACCCAAGTCCGAGAGCACCTGCAGCACAACCACAACATTGCAGTGAATAGGAACTGAACAGTTCCAAGTGTTTCTGAAATTTCATTCATGAGGTGAATGAGTTTTTGGCCACTTTTGGACATACTCCAACCATATCATCCCTGGGATGTGAAGCAAAAACCTGTCTCCACTCATTAAAACCATGTTTGGAATCAAACCCGGGTGTTTGGCCGTGACAAGCTGACACTTAAACCACTAGGCTACCTCACTGCCCCCTTAGTAAATGAGTAGTCTGTAGAAGGGGTATTCATGATCCCCCTGTTCTTTTACTTCTTCAAAGAACAAATCGTTTAGTCAAAAAGAATTTAGATAAATGCCAAAGTATCTTCCTGTTAAGTAAATGACAATCAGAATATTCAACTGAAGACAGGTAAGGTGAAATGGGGTTTAACGTCACGTCCAAGATTATTGCACTTTTATAGCGACGTGCATGCACGTGTGGGTGGCTGCTTGTACTAGTCCGGACTGATGCCGATTTGTAGAGCTAGCCCACTGAGATACCCGCCGCAGTTTAATATGAATACCCCACTCAGACACAGTATACTGACTTCGAGCCGACCAGTCATTGTTTTAGCCCTTAATGCCGAGCGCTAGACAGGGTAACAACAAGTACCATCTTTTAATGTCTTTTGGTATGACGCGGCCGAGGATCAAACCCCGGACCTTCCGCTCCCCGGGCAGACGCTCTTCCACTAGACCACAGAGGCGGTCGCATCTGAAAACAACTGATTTCTTTTCACAGAGGGAAAACAAACCCAGTTGTGTAGATTAACAGCAGGATCACGACAATTTCCTCTTTATTTAATGAGTGAGTGAGTGAGTTAGGTTTGCAACGTTGCTTTTAACAGTATTCCAGTTATATCGCGTCGTGTCAGCTTAATGTGGGAGGAAAGCCCGAAGTGATGCAGGCCTCAGACATTTACCACTTCGGTGAAACCCACGAGCACGGGTATGGTGCTGACAAACCTAGAAACATAATCGGGGCTAACCGGGATTCGAACCCATAATCATAGGTTTCTGGCGAGCCCAAGGGATGCAACTCTGCACAGTTTGCATTTTTACATGTGTTAACATTTACTAACCTTTGTTTAGTTTAACTATCAACATTTTGATACAAAATTTCTGAAATACGTCTTCTGTAACTTTCACTAATAGCTGGTTCACATGTCAGATCATGTGTGCAACGTGTCAATGACATCTCATGTTAAGAAAATGTAATTTCGTAACACTTGCTAAAACTGTAAAAGCAATAGGATTTGATTCTCAGGTGTTAGATATATTTTTGTTAATCATAGGTTTCTGGTGTGCCCAAGGGACACAACTCTGCACAGCGAATCGCGGCACCTTAGACGATTGGGCCACCCCTGCCCCGAAACCCTCTATAAGACCTGGGGATTTTCTATAGAATATCTCTATCTTGTGTTCAACAGCTAAATATATGTCTAACTAGGGACACAGACTGACATTAGACCCAGAAATAAAGGTATCTTATTTAACAATATACTGGTATATCTACAAAATAGAAAGTAAAAAATATCCAAATAGAGCCCAGAACAATATATAATGTCAGGCCTAGAGGTGAGAAAATCTAGACTTTCCAAATCATTCTAGACATGAGTTTTTAATTTTTTTCTCTATGGTCTGGAAGACAGACTACTGGGGAGTAGGGACATCCAAAACATGTCAAACCTACATTACAGGAGTTATCCCCTGGAAGACCTGGGTTTATTCTAAAGAATATCCCTATCTTGTGTTCAACAGCTAAATACATCTCTAACTAGGGACATCCAAAACATGTCAAACCCACTTTACAGGAGTTATCCCCTGGAAGACCTGGGTTTATTCTTAAGAATATCCCTATCTTGTGTTCAACAGCTAAATACATCTCTAACTAGGGACATCCAAAACATGTCAAACCTACTTTACAGGAGTTATCCCCTGGAAGACCTGGGTTTATTCTAAAGAATATCCCTATCTTGTGTTCAACAGTTAAATACATCTCTAACTAGGGACATCCAAAACATGTCAAACCCACCTTAAAGGTGCTGCCCTCTATAAGACCTGGAGATTTTCTTTGAATATCCCTATCTTGTGTTCAACAGCTAAATACATCTCTAACTAGGGACATCCAAAACATGTCAAACCCACTTTACAGGTGCTGCCCTCTATAAGACCTGGGTTTATTCTAAAGAATATCCCTATCTTGTGTTCAACAGCTAAATACATCTCTAACTAGGGACATCCAAAACATGTCAAACCCACTTTACAGGAGTTATCCCCTGGAAGACCTGGGTTTATTCTTAAGAATATCCCTATCTTGTGTTCAACAGCTAAATACATCTCTAACTAGGGACATCCAAAACATGTCAAACCTACTTTACAGGAGTTATCCCCTGGAAGACCTGGGTTTATTCTAAAGAATATCCCTATCTTGTGTTCAACAGTTAAATACATCTCTAACTAGGGACATCCAAAACATGTCAAACCCACCTTAAAGGTGCTGCCCTCTATAAGACCTGGAGATTTTCTTTGAATATCCCTATCTTGTGTTCAACAGTTAAATACATCTCTAACTAGGGACATCCAAAACATGTCAAACCCACTTTACAGGTGCTGCCCTCTATAAGACCTGGGTTTATTCTAAAGAATATCCCTATCTTGTGTTCAACAGCTAAATACATCTCTAACTAGGGACATCCAAAACATGTCAAACCTACTTTACAGGAGTTATCCCCTGGAAGACCTGGGTTTATTCTAAAGAATATCCCTATCTTGTGTTCAACAGCTAAATACATCTCTAACCCTTTCGCCCCGACTGCCCGATTTATCGGGCAGGATAAACCGTGTCCCAGGACCCGGCTGCCCGAAAAATCGGGCAGCATAAGCCGAGGCCCAGAACCCGGCTGCCCGATAAATCGGGCGGCGCGAGCGTGTTTACAAAATCGCTCTTTCTACTTCCTTTCTCGTGTGTAATCTCGTTCTAAATATGGAAACGAGATCTACACGTATTGACACGTCATTCGATGGAATTTCCCCGTCTTTTTGGCGCGAAAATCGCGGGTATGTCACCTGTTTTCGCGACAGGTATTTTTCTCGCTTGAATCGTAAATCAAGCGTAATGGCGGCCAACTACGATTCGGATAGCGATCAGATGATTAACAACGACTATATCGGGAATAATAATGTGTTTGAATTGAATAATTTACGCGAAGGGGAGAGGGAATTTCGCGAATATTTTCGTGAAGATTTTGACGGTTTCGACGAGGTGTCCCCCCCCCGCCAACTTTCGAGAATGGGAGTGGCAGAGGGACACACGACAGTGGAGACATGAGGGATTTTGAAGAGGCGACCGGATTCAAGAATATATATTGACACGGTGAGTGAAGAGTCGTGCTATTGATTTTTTCCAACTGTTTTACAATGATTCTGTGTTTGAACAGATTATCAGTGCGACGAATGAGAATGCAGCCTACACGTGAACGAGCGATCACAACAACAACAAAGGTGAGTGGCATGACGTATCTGTTTTGTTTTTTTTTAAATTTATTTTTCTGATCGCAATCCGAATTGTAGTTTGCCGGTTTGTCGTATGTCCTTATATTTCGCTCAATTTGAATAAAATTTATTTCCATATTCATGTTTGTTTTCTTGTTTTTTACATCTTAATTTAAATTTTAGTAACTGTAATGATTATTTATTTATTAATTGATTTAATAAAGTACTGATTTAATTTATTATGCAATTGTAAATAGCAGTGTATTGTAAATATGTTATCACAACTTGTATATTTGCAGAACTTGAATTTACGATCTTTCCGTCCTTTTACAATGTTTCCCTCTTCAGATCAATCTGTGTTATCTTCCCTGTGATGTCATTCTTATAGTAGCTGTGGTTCAATGTTCAGATAATGTGATAAATAACTTTTTAAAAACTTAAATACTTAATTTTTGTTTCAAATCCTGAAAAAGAACAAAATAAATCAAATATTTGTGTTTTTACCTGTGTTAACGAGTTTACCTGCGTTAACAAGTTTACCTGTGTTAACGAGTTTACCTTAGAGGCTGTAAGTGTATCATAAGTAATATGTGACATCAGTATAGAAAACAAAGTCAGTACCAAGAGTTGTAAACTTGTTTATTTGTTTACAGATGTGCATGAAGAGAATTTACCTGTAACACCTGGGATTACCTGTGCCGTCCAAGATGACAAGACCACTGTGTTATGTTTACCTTGTATCTGTGATTTATTTTTGTGATTTGTAATACAATTTGAGCCAAAATTCATTGTCTGTTTTCATTTTTTCAGTGTTTTCAAGTTTTATTTCACTTGTAAACACCTGTAATTAGAAAATAACAAAGGTTAGAGACAATAACAACAAAGAATATTAAAGTATACTTAATCTTCTTTACAATGGTATATGATAAATGTATATTAAAAGCAAGTTTCTGGTAGAAAAAGTGCATCAAAAATGATAGTGTGATTTTCCAATAATACTGCCAGGGAGGCCAGTGTACAGGCCTTGTCAGTGTCAGGGACTGCAGGGTCTCAAGGGACATAACTCTGGGGCAGCCAGTGATGAAAGAGCTAACTAGGGACATCCAAAACATGTCAAACCCACTTTACAGGTGCTGCCCTCTATAAGACCTGGGTTTATTCTAAAGAATATCCCTATCTTGTGTTCAACAGCTAAATACATCTCTAACTAGGGACATCCAAAACATGTCAAACCCACTTTACAGGTGCTGCCCTCTATAAGACCTGGGTTTATTCTAAAGAATATCCCTATCTTGTGTTCAACAGCTAAATACATATCTAACTAGGGACATCCAAAACATGTCAAACCCACTTTACAGGTGCTGCCCTCTATAAGACCTGGAGATTTTCTTTGAATATCCCTATCTTGTGTTCAACAGTTAAATACATCTCTAACTAGGGACATTCAAAACATGTCAAACCTACTTTACAGGAGTTATCCCCTGGAAGACCTGGGTTTATTCTAAAGAATATCCCTATCTTGTGTTCAACAGCTAAATACATATCTAACTAGGGACATCCAAAACATGTCAAACCTACTTTACAGGAGTTATCCCCTGGAAGACCTGGGTTTATTCTAAAGAATATCCCTATCTTGTGTTCAACAGCTAAATACATCTCCAACTAGGGACATCCAAAACATGTCAAACCCACTTTACAGGTGCTGCCCTCTATAAGACCTGGGTTTATTCTAAAGAATATCCCTATCTTGTGTTCAACAGCTAAATACATCTCTAACTAGGGACATCCAAAACATGTCAAACCTACTTTACAGGAGTTATCCCCTGGAAGACCTGGGTTTATTCTAAAGAATATCCCTATCTTGTGTTCAACAGCTAAATACATCTCTAACTAGGGACATCCAAAACATGTCAAACCCACTTTACAGGTGCTGCCCTCTATAAGACCTGGGTTTATTCTAAAGAATATCCCTATCTTGTGTTCAACAGCTAAATACAACTGTAACTAGGGACATCCAAAACATGTCAAACCCACTTTACAGGTGCTGCCCTCTATAAGACCTGGAGATTTTCTTTGAATATCACTATCTTGTGTTCAACAGTTAAATACATCTCTAACTAGGGACATTCAAAACATGTCAAACCAACTTTACAGGTGCTGCCCTCTGGAAGACTAGTGGATTTTCTACAAAATATCCCTGGGACAGACGGATATTCTGTAACATGTCCCTGTTTAGGGGTTATTCTACGAAAAAGAAAGCCCCATAAACTAGAGGTCACTAGAGGTTAACTAAAACATAGAGTGATGGTAATACCCTGGGCCCCGTTTCACAAAGCAATCTTAGCGCTAAGACTTTCGTAAAGCCCATACTTTAACATAGACTTACGATAATCTTAGGACTAAGATCACTTTGTGCAATGGGGCCCCGGTATGCACCAACAAGTTGTCCAGCAAATATTGCAACTGCTGTCATGATGGATCATACCTCTCTGCAACTGAATCTGGATTTTCCTTCCAATTTTGCGAGTATTTGTGAGAGTGTTGATTGCTTGTTCTTTTGGTGCTGACAACGTTGTGGACGGGTGGCGCTGGGGAACAGCCGGCGGTGTTTTCTTGGTAGGCGATGCCACCTTCAGTGGAGGACCTGGTTGGATAGGCAGCTTGTCTCGTGGTGGAAGAGGGGAACCCGGGATTTGATTGCCTTGATTATTGTTCATCATGTTCAGGTTTACATTCTTTTCATTCACATTGTTATTATTTATTAAAGACTTTCCCCCCTCCAATGGAGAGCTTGTCTTTTCTGGACTTGAGGGAAGAGAGTTATCTCCCTTGGGTGGGGGAAGGGTCAAAGGTGAAGGTTTCACTGGCGCATGACCTTTGGGTTTTGGCATGAGGGGCGGTGGTTGTTTTGGCAGTGGGGGAGGAGCTCGATGTTTCACAACTTTCAGTCTTACTTCTGCTGTTCTCATAGCGTCACGAAATATTCTTTGGGCACTGAAAAACAAATATTTTGGAGATTAATTGATATTTAATCATTCTTATTGCCTTAGAATGGTCTTCTACAACTAAAATGAATGGGAGAAAAGTAATTCAAAGAACAAATTACTGTATTCTAGTACCATCGCTAAATGAACGAACGAACACCAAAACGAATGAACAACAAATCAACGTTTGACAAAATAACGTTCAAAATAAACGTTCAATCTTGTACAGCTAAACATTTTTAAATCAACTGTATGTATCTATTTCCCCTTACCTGTCGAAGCTGACTCCTTCCAGGTTTTTGCCGTTGATCTCGATGATCCTGTCATTCACCCGTAATCTCCCATCTCGTTCAATACGGCCTCCCTTCTCAATACCCTGTAGCACCAGCCCCAACTCTCTGCAACAACAACAACAGCATCAGCAACAATAGCAACAGCAGCATCAAGGGCAATAACACCATCAGCATCTACATCAACACCACCACCAACATCATCTGCAATAACATCAACAAATCACCAGTTCCATCGATACAAAGCATATCACAATATTCACCAGTGACGGGAAGTAGTGACAGATTGCAAAGGAGGTACCTCATTGGTTATTAGGGGTGAAATGATACAGCAAGGTCATTATACGATACATATCATGATACATAGGTCGCGATATGATACATATTGCGATACACATATTTACGTCAAATTGCATGCAAACTTCTTACTATAAATATTTCAGAGCAGGTTCAAAGGGAAAAGCTAGCTGTACACACATGTTTGTAGCGGCTATATTTAGCAGTGAACTTGAAACGCTAGTTATAATACATTTGTGATATTTGACAGACGAAAACGATGAGGTCGTTAAACAAGTAGTAAGTAATTTATTGTAGCAAGTGTATCGTCTTGTATCGATACTAGGGCTGCAACAAATACACTATGACGCGAATATGATTCGTATCACGAATATAGGGTAACGAATACGAATATTAAATCACGAATACAATAACAAGTCTGATGTAGCAGCTGAAATATTATTTGTATTATTTGTTATATTCAGTGAAACATTGACAACATAAAATATTTGACATGGTTTGTTAATGATTAATATATATACTGCACTTATCCAGGTACTAGTATCTGCTCAAATGCTACAATGACCAGTGACCACAATACTGTCAAACTAAATATTATGAGAGTGTTGTCTTTGAAGAAATCTATGCATATTATATGTTCTTATGATATTTTTTGGTACAGGGTATGTAAATATGCAGATGCTTGCATATTCAAAAATATTCGATTCTAGTGGCCACGAATAACGAATTCAATTCATGAATGGATACGGTTCGATTCACCGAATACGTGAGTGAATCGTAACAGCCCTAATCGATACAACAACAAAGATAATATCGCGCACCGATGTACCGTTTCACCCTGATCTGTTAACTCAGCTTTGTCATACCAGTCCCCAAACAAAGGCTTGATTCCAGCTGAGATGTGGTTATGAATATACATGCCTTTTAGAAAGTGGTCTAAAGTAACAAATGTTATTCTCTGAGCTGCAGATGAGCAGGGTATTTGCGTAAAATACCCCCGAAAAATATTCAAAACCCCATTACTTTCAATTAACTTGCGTAAAGAAACGCATGCATTAAATGAAAAACTCAAATGTATAAAAACAGCACACGTAAATACAATGGATTTCCGAAACATAATTACGTGATAATTTACTTTCCGAATCAAGCCTTTATATTTAGAACAGTTATATACATCTAAAACATTATCTCATTTTTTCAAATCTTTAAATATTCACTCTTTTTGGAAGAAACCCAACAGAGTGATGAAACCTAGTCCACCATGACCGTGGAATATATTTATTTTATGAAAAAAATAATCTAGAAATGCATACAAAAGCAAGTCTAGCCAGCTCAAGCTAGTTAAATCAGCATAGGGAATTTTATTTTATTTTTAGAGTCAAGAAGGACATTGTGTAATATATGATTTCAGAGACTAAATGTTAGTCTAGATGAAACCCAACAGAGTGATGAATAGATGAAAAATGCACCAACCCAATTAAAATAGAAACCCAAGAGTAAAAAACTCAATTGCTCAAAAAGTTATCTGGAGCTCTGTATACTTGAGAAATGCACTCTCTTTGTACTTTGGGGGGTTGAGTCCTATCCAGGATTTGAACCCACACTCTCAGAAGCACCTAATTACCAGGCACCCAAATCAACCATTTAAGAGTTGAAAGCCTAAACTAAAGAGACTCTTTCTAAAAGAGATTTAAGTTTTTGACTACATGAATTACATAAAATATTATTAAGTATTATTTTAGCTATGAACCAACAAGAAGATGTTGTAATGTCTTACTTTCCGTCATCATCGATGTCGGGGATGACATGTATTCCGAGAGGCCCTCCATCATTCCTCAGCACAATAATAATAGCACCATCACTGAAACAATACACTCAATTATTGGTCACATAGCCTTAAAAACATAGCCATGGCTTCTGCCCCTTTGTATCTTAAAATATAATAGTAAGATTATTGGTAGAATCCTCCATGGAACGTATCAACTCCATCGCTCCTGTGGTTTTCGGGACATCGAATGTGTCTTGACAACTTGCTTCTTTATAAGGGCCATTGCATTCAGGAAGTTCTTGGCGCCACTTACTCCAGCCATATTACACCAAGAAGGAAAGTTCTTGGCGCCACTTACTCCAGCCATATTACACCGAGAAGGAAAGTTCTTGGCGCCACTTACTCCAGCCATATTACACCAAGAAGGAAAGTTCTTGGCGCCACGTACTCCAGCCATATTACACCAAGAAGGACAGTTCTTGGCGCCACTTACTCTAGCCATATTACACCAAGAAGGACAGTTCTTGGCGCCACTTACTCCAGCCATATTACACCAAGAAGGAAAGTTCTTGGTGCCACTTACTCAAGCCATATTCCACCGAGAAGGAAAGTTCTTGGCGTCACTTACTCAAGCCATATTACACCAAGAAGGAAAGTTCTTGGCGCCACTTACTTCAGCCATATTACACCAAGAAGGAAAGTTCTTGGCGCCACTTACTCCAGCCATATTACACCAAGAAGGAAAGTTCTTGGCGCCACTTACTCCAGCCATATTACACCGAGAAAGAAAGTTCTTGGCACCGCTTTTACCATTACTCCACTCATATTACACCAAGAAGGGCAGTTCTTGGCGCCACTTACTCCAGCCATATTACACCGAGAAGGAAAGTTCTTGGCGCCACTTACTCCAGCCATTTTACACCAAGAAGGACAGTTCTTGGCGCCACTTACTCCAGCCATATTACACCAAGAAGGACAGTTCTTGGCGCCACTTACTCCAGCCATATTACACCAAGAAGGAAAGTTCTTGGTGCCACTTACTCAAGCCATATTCCACCAAGAAGGAAAGTTCTTGGCTTCACTTACTCCAGCCATATTACACCAAGAAGGAAAGTTCTTGGCGCCACTTACTTCAGCCATATTACACCAAGAAGGAAAGTTCTTGGCGCCACTTACTCCAGCCATATTACACCAAGAAGGAAAGTTCTTGGCGCCACTTACTCCAGCCATATTACACCGAGAAAGAAAGTTCTTGGCACCGCTTTTACCATTACTCCACTCATATTACACCAAGAAGGGCAGTTCTTGGCGCCACTTACTCCAGCCATATTACACCGAGAAGGAAAGTTCTTGGCGCCACTTACTCTAGCCATATTACACCAAGAAGGACAGTTCTTGGCGCCACTTACTCCAGCCATATTACACCGAGAAGGAAAGTTCTTGGCGCCACTTACTCCAGCCATATTACACCAAGAAGGACAGTTCTTGGCGCCACTTACTCCAGCCATATTACACCAAGAAGGAAAGTTCTTGGTGCCACTTACTCAAGCCATATTCCACCGAGAAGGAAAGTTCTTGGCGTCACTTACTCAAGCCATATTACACCAAGAAGGAAAGTTCTTGGCGCCACTTACTCCAGCCATATTACACCAAGAAGGAAAGTTCTTGGCGCCACTTACTCCAGCCATATTACACCAAGAAGGAAAGTTCTTGGCGCCACTTACTCCAGCCATATTACCCCGAGAAAGAAAGTTCTTGGCACCGCTTTTACCATTACTCCACTCATATTACACCAAGAAGGGCAGTTCTAGGCGCCACTTACTTCAGCCATATTACACCGAGAAGGAAAGTTCTTGGCGCCACTTACTCTAGCCATATTACACCAAGAAGGAAAGTTCTTGGCGCCACTTACTCCAGCAATATTACACCGAGAAGGAAAGTTCTTGGCACCGCTTTTACCATTACTCCACTCATATTACACCAAGAAGGAAAGTTCTTGGCGTCGCTTTTACCATTACTCTAGCCATATTACACTAAAAAGCAAAGTTCTTGGCACTGCTTTTACCATTACTCCACTCATATTACACTAAAAAGCAAAGTTCTTGGCGCTGCTTTTACCATTACTCCACTCATATTACACCGAGAAGGAAAGTTCTTGGCGCTGCTTTTACCATTACTCCACTCATATTACACCGAGAAGGAAAGTTCTTGGCACCGCTTTTACCATTACTCCACTCATATTACACCGAGAAGGAAAGTTCTTGGCACAGCTTTTACCATTATTCCAGCCATATTACAGGGAAATTCTCAAGTTTCAAGAGCCATTTATGGATAATGTCAAGGGCCTGTTGTATATATTTCCACTAATAAACTAATGTGTCTCCAATACTTTGTGACATGATTTTGAGGGGAAAACTGTCAAGTGGCCAAATATGATTGAGTCTAAATTTCTAATTATGCCAAACAAATTCTCCGAAGTGAAATGCCATCTGTGAGTGACTCCACCAGTTCCTGTGTTGACGAGGGTTGTGACTCACCTGTCTTTGTGTTGAGGTTTCAGGTCGGCTTCAGTACCACTGCCACCTATTGGACCTTTCCTCTCCACAACCACCTGCTGCAACAATGGAATCAGTGAGTCAGTAGGGATTTCTGCTACTTTCACAAAGTGTGGATGCGTGGGTGGGTGGGTGGGTGGGTGCGTGGGTGCATGGATGGTTGCTTGGATGGGTGCGTGAGTCAGTTAGTGGGTGCGTGGGTCAGTTAATGGGTGCGTGGGTGGGTGGATGGGTGCGTGGGTGGTTGCTTGGGCGGGTGCATGGGTCAGTTAGTGAGTGGGTGCATGGGTGGGTGCATGGGTGGTTGCTTAGATGAGTGCATGGGTCAGTTAGTGGGTGCATGGGCGGGTGCATGGGTGGGTGCTTCGGTGGTTGCTTGGATGGCTGGATGGGTGCATGGGTCAGTTAGTGGGTGCATGGGTCGGTGCGTGGGTGGGTGCATGGGTGGTTGCTTTGATGGGTGCGTGGGTCAGTTAGTGGGTGCGTGGGTGGGTGCACCCTCCGGTGGGTGCATGGGTCAGTTAGTGGGTGCGTGGGTGGGTGCGTGGGTGGTTGCTTGGGTGGTAGCTTGAGTGGGTGGGTGGGTCAGTTAGTGGGTGCGTGGGTGGTTGCGTGGGTAGGTGCATGGGTGGGTGCATGGGTGAGTGCGTGGGTGGGTTTGTGGGTGGATGTGTGGGTGAGTGAGTGGGGATTTGGGCTGCTTTCACAGGAAGGAACACAATCCTTCAATGTCTTACATGTGCCCCACCTGTTTGAAGAAACACAATCCATCACTGTATTATAAATGTGCCCCACCTGTTTGAGACGGTCCTGTTGGTTGTCGTGGGCGTCCAGCCATCTGTACATTTCAGGGTTGTTGCTGAGAGACTGCCGCTTGGAGTCACGCTGAAACCGTGACAGTGGACTCTTTTCTTTGGGATCCTTTGGCCGAGAAATGACCTGTTCATCATCCGACTCAGATTCTGATCTTGGTTCATCACTCTCCTGTAAAATAATAAATAACCTCATCATTCATGCTTCTCTTCAATGCTTTGAGCACCAACAGAGAAACTTAAAATAACATAAGAAGCTATGACCTTCATAAATTTTTAGTCTGATCCCAAAAACTTTTGAGTCCTTTAACCCAAACTTGGCTCTAAAGCATCATTTTCAGATTTTAGTAAATTAGATGGATTATTATTAGCTTAGACCAAACAGAATTGTACGAGACTCGGGCATCGGGCAAGTGGCTAAAGTTGCAGACTGCAGATACCTTTATTACTCTTATTATGAGTAACTCAACAATCACAACTCAAAGTGAGAGATTTTCTTTCTGACTAGTTATTATTCCTTTACAAAAATAAAATTTGGTGGACATAAAATCTTACTGGGTAATATCAATAAATCAGATTTAAGTATGCCCATAGACACTGCTACAGGTTTCCTTTTTCCATAATGATCATACCATGTCAATAAATTATGTGTTAGTTGTTTAACACTGCACTCATCAACATTCCAGCCTTATGACAGCTGTCTGTAAATAATCAATCTGAGTGAGTGAGTGAGTTGGGTTTAACGCCGCTTTTAACAGTATTCCAGTTATATCATGGCGTGTCAGCTTAATGTGGGAGGAAAGCCCGAAGTGATGCAGGTCTCAGACGTTTACCACTTCAGTGAAACCCACGAGCAGGGGTATGGTGCTGACAAACCTAGAAACATGATCGGGGCGAAGCCGGGATTCGAACCCACAATCATAGGTTTCTGGCGTGCCCAAGGGACGCAACTCTGCACAGCGAATCGCAACGCTTTAGACGACTGGGCCCCCCGTGCCCCCTAATCAATCTGAACTATCCACGCCATCGGTGTACAATGTCATGCAATACTAAGCAACACTGACCAGCCCAGGTTGCTGGGGAGAAACTCTAACCCACCACCTCCATGGACGTAACAATATATTAGGTAAAATTGACGAATAGCTTTAGATAGTCACTGATACTCCAAATAACCATATGACTACATTTTGTTGTGGTTAATATGTAACAAATCACTCTTGACAAATAAACACCACAGAGCCAACACAAACAAGGGAGGCAACTCTGCCCTACCTGGTGAGATTCCTTCCTTCCTCGGCCAAGTGCAAGACTTGTGTCTCCGTTTTCAAGTGGGCCTTCATCGATCAGTAGGTTGAGAGCTGGCTCACTGCCCCGCCGTACTGTCAGAGATGTACCTTCAGTGGAAAACGGATTATTAATGCAGGACACAAGAATAACACTTTGTGAAATGAGAGTCGTAATTTGTCTATTTGTGTTCAACACCCTACTCAGCAATCTTCCAACTATTGATGGCGGCCTGTAAATAATAGAGTCTGGGCGAGACAATCTAGTGATTGATATTGTGAGCAACCATCCATGCAGTCAGGGTACAATGACACTCAATCAACCAAGTCACCAAGCCTGACCACCCGACAATACTGTCGCCTCCTACAACCAGCATAGGCTTCTATGGACCAATTCTAACCCGGAATTCCCACAGGACTGACAATTATTAAGCTAACACCATGTTACTGGTGTAGGACTGTGGCAGAACTAGAGGCATCCATTTAGAATGTCATTGCCAGCCTGATGCACAGGCATAATTCCTCCAGGAAATAATGAGTGAATGTGTGAGTATGGTTTTACGCCGCTTTTAGCAATAATCCAGCAATATCACGGCAAACACCTGAAATGGGCTTCACACATTGTACCCATGGGTCTACCATGTCTACGACGTGACGAGCGAACGCTTTAACCACTAGGCTACCCGACCGCCCCCCAGGAATTAATGGATAACTCTACATTAACAAGGTTAACCTGACGCAGAAATGTGCGTCCAGTACACACAAATGTATAGAACATGATAGAATGGACGCAGAAAAAATAAATATTGCGACCCGAGAGAAGTCAATAATAATCACTGTACCAAATTCTTGACATAAACAAAGTTCCTGTAATTTAAGCAATCTTACAGTACTGTACACTACACCATTTCATTACTCTACAGGACCTTCATTTTTCCTACGAGGATCCTTGAAATTAGTAATTGGGGGTCCTCTGGACCCCTAGTTTTGTAGGTTACAGTAAAAACCTGACTAAGTGGATAAAACAAGGAGTGGTCGGTTCAGAGTCAGCATACTGTGTCCATGTTAAACTGCAACATGGTATCTCAGTGGGGTAGCACTATAAAACTGGCATTAGTCTGGACTAGTACAAGCAGCCACACACACACACACATGTGCCTGCACATCGCTATATATATGTGCAATAATCTTGAACATGATGTAAAACCCATTTCATAACCTCATGTATACTATCCTTGGGGTTTGTCATATCATAGGTTAGGATGGGGATATTTCTATATTCTTTCCATTTCCAAAACATATTGAAACAATGATTTTGGGTATCAAATGGAGGGTATGTTTGGGTTGGACTCTTTCCTCCTTGGAAAGCCGAACACTTACGAACATTCAGTCATGTATATAGATTAACAATTTCAAAAGTTACACATGTAAGGCTAAAAAAAAGAATAGTCTTGGTTCTCAGGCACCACCAGCATCATCATAAAGTCTGCCGCACGTTTTGTTTTTATTTCCATTTTCAAACAAATATAAAAATCCTAATACTTAAACACAATGCACCAAAAAAAATGAAAATGGAAACAAAAACGAAACATGCAATGTACTTTATGATGATACGGGCAGTGCCTGAGAACAAAACTGTTATTTTTTTGGCCTATATAAGGAGGCTGAATTGTGTCATTAGACCAGGGAAAGCAGTATCTAATAAACTGGATCCTTCCAGAGTGTTGGCCAAAATGTACCATGTGGACTGTCCATGATTACATGATAGAGAGATCATTACGAAAAATATGAAATAGCAGAAAATTTGTTACGGTTAACAATGGATTTCTTGCTCTCTTGAAAACACAGGTGGTGTTTTTAAAATGAAATTTTCATTACGTTTGAATATAATCAAGTTGTCCTTTCAGGAAACATACAGGCTGTGCTAAGAATAGAAAAGTTGTTTTTGTATATAAGCTTCTTATGGACAAACACAGTTCGAAAGATTGTCAATAAGAAAGAAGTAAATTAAATATTTATTGATCAACACGTACGAAACTGTTGCTGATCAATACACAGAGGCTGATTGTCTTCCATTACACAATACACCACTTATATCATGTCACTTCTTGACATTGATTTCTTCTTCATTTGGCCCTAACAATACAGATGAACACTTGAGAAAATATTATCTCTTCTTGCAGAATATTTCCAAACACACATACCGTATTCGACGTAATAAGCGCCCAGGGCGCTCTCAAAATTAGAAATAGGGGCTCTTATTAGAATATTATTTTGGTGAAAAAGACAGAGTTGAAAGATCAATTTCGAGGTTTATGCGGACAGCCTCAAATGTTTATATACGAGAGATACATTTTTCCAGAATTTAAATGCCCATAATTAAGGGTGCATATAACACACGAGTGAGTATTATACGCGAATAAATAAGTCTTGTGTACATTGATCAATTGGAAGGGGTGCTGATTGGTCTTGTTCACTAGCCAATATATTAGCAAATATCGCCGTAGGCGCTTATTAGAGCGGGGCGCTTATTACATCGAATACGGTATATAGGTGTGCTCCCTGAACCTCCATCCTAATGCGTATAATTTAATGTGACACAACACTGATTGATTTTATCTTTGTGTAACTTACTCCCAGTGTCTGGGGAGCTATTTTACCAACAATACAGATATGCACACAAATGTTAGGCTTTAATATCAGGGAGATGAATTGAGATTAATGAATATGATCTGTCAAAGACGTCATGGACGTTGACAAGCTCAGCTTACTGGACTGAAATAAATAAACACTCAGATGATGAGTGAGTGAGGTTTTACACCGCTTTTAGCAATATTCCAGCAATATCACGGCGGGGGACACCAGAAATGGGCTTCACACATTGTACCCATGTCGGGAATCGAACCCGGGTCTTCGGAGTGACGTGCGAACGCTTTAACCACTAGGCTACCCCACCGCCCCCTCAGATGATGAAGAAGTTTCTGAAGACATAGACTAGAGCACAATACGTTTCCTATAACTCCATCTCTCTCCCTCTTTGGGGATGCCGGGCAGAATATTCCCATACCCTATCAGGAGCTGATTCACTAGGATCAGGTGGTTACAAGGTGTGACCTGGCTGATGGTGTCGCCACGGCCCGACTGTGTGGATTACACCTCATGCTGTCGACCACTGGTTAGCCTTGCTAAGACTGGATTTCACTCAATCACAGAGTTGACAATCTCTGGACTGGTCAAACTGAACTTGTTAATTAATGCTGAAATACCATCTTCAAATCATTATATCATGTATATACAAACATTTCTCAGTACCTAGACTAACATTAAGAAATAAGTTTTTTCATTTTTAAAAATATATCTACAAAATAAAAAATAAAATCCAAACAAGACCCAGGATCCAATCCAGGACAGTGTTTAATTACAGCTGAGGCAATGTAGACTTGCTAAATCATTCTTGACTTGAGTTGGGTTCTTTCTTAATGTTTTCGCTAGGGTCTCAGTATTTAAAGACTCTCTTGTGTTAGAATCCAGAGTAATCAATGCACTACTAGTCCCATGGAGCGAAACTGGCATCAGTGTTCGGCAACTTTCAAAGACATGCATCAGTGTCATCAGAGATGTGGACAAGGCTGTCAAGGTCCCCAATTAACACCAACTCAACATCTCATGGATTGCTTCACCCACAAACAAAGACTGCCCCGATGATCAATACAAGTCCAAGCACTACCAGTAAGTGAGTTCAATTGACGATGATCGTTGGTTCTCCATATGCATGACTGACATAGACCCTCACTATAAAGCTACTTCACTCCTAGCCAGGCCAAGACCCTCACTATAAAGCTACTTAATTCCCGGGATGAATTGTTCGTCTTGAATGTGAAGCAATCCAATCTCATCGTCCATTGGATGATGATAATTTTGTCATGGCATGAATTGCACCTACTGACCTCAAAAACTGAATGAATGTTTTTTGTTTTTTTTATGCAGTCAGCAATATTCTAGCTCCATCAATGCAGCCTGTTTTGTTTGTTTGTTTGTATGATGCTGCAATCAGCAATATTCCCAGATATATGACAAAGGGCTGCAAATAATAAAGTCTGGACTTGACAATCCAGTGATTTACATCACAAGCATTGATCAACATAATTGGGATACGATCAGGTGCATCGACCAAGTCAGCCATCCTGACCACCCGATCCCGTAATTCAGAATGATGACAAGCATGGGTTGCTGAAAACTAATTCTAACCCGGATCATGACAGCTAAATGCAGCCTGTAACAAACAGTGTGGGCAAGGCAGACTGGTGATTGATAGCATGAGCAACACAATATCCAGGTCAGACACTGTGACCACTCCATCCTCATTTTAGTTTTTACAAGCATGGGTCACTCGGATACAGCCAGACCTGAAAACCTAGTGTGAAGACAAACAAAGTTCCGACTTGAAAGGAAATCTTTGTAACAGCAACCACTACAATTAACTAGCTTCCTGCAAATTAATTCCCTTGACAAACAATGCCAGTAGTGCCATTAGCCAGCTGTCATGGTCATTACAGGGCACAACAGGAATACTGAATCAATCCTTGCACAACCTACATTCACAGAAACTCTCACAGAAAAACTCTGCATGTTAAGCCAGTTAGATTGCCATGAACATACATGCATTCCCAAACTAAACCGGGAAAAGACAGAAATAAATAATTACAATAAATTAGTAAAAAAAAAAAATTATGTTTTTCACTGACCTTTGCATGTTTATGCAGACTAAACAGATGATAGTGAGTGAGTGAATGAGGTTTTACGCTGCTTTAAGCAATGTTCAATCAATATCACAGCGGGGAACACCAGAAATGGGCTTCACACATTGTACCCATGTCGGGTATTGAACCCTGGTCTTCGGCATGATGAGCTAACGCTTTAACCACTAGGCTACCCGACAGCCACAAACAGATGATACTGCATTCAAATCATATGCAAGACATGCATTTAATACAATTTTCTAACCTGTTATGTGTATATTATGACTGATTAATCTGATGCTAAACCTAAAACTAAATACACATGACAACACTAAAATGTACTGAAATGACGCTAAGAGCCAAGTTTTTGGCACAGATTGACTTAGTCTATCTCTCAGACCCTAGAGATCTGTGAAGATCCGGGGTAGAATAGGTCTTCAGTAACCAATGCTTGTCGTAAAAGTTGACTTTGCTTGTCTTGAGGGGCGCCTAACAGCATCGGGTGGTCAGGCTTGCTGACTTGGCTGATACACGTCATCGTGTCCCAATTGATGCTCATGTAGTCAATCAATGGATTGTCTGGTCCAGACTCGAATATTTACAGACAGCCATCATATAGCTGGAATATTGCTGAGTGTGACGTCAAACAACACGGAACAAATAAAGAAACTCAGACCCTAGAGCGTAAATGAAACGAGTCATCAGGAGATGACATATCAAGAGTTACCAAGATGACATTTTTCATGTTGAGATTGCCTCAGCTTAGGTCTGAAATTTAAGCAATGTTCTAGGTTCTATTTATAGGCATATATTTTCAAATAACATAACTTTATTTCTGGCACTAAACGTTAGTCTAACTGTGACTGTGAAACATTTTCTACATCTTCTCCAAACTCTTCAAACCCTGTACAGCTAATTAATGCAGCAAGAATTTACTGGTCACACTCTTAAATGTTGGTATCGTAGTTTGAGTGAAGGCCAATATCCTCTTCAAATAATCCCTCCCCCCCTACCAAGTCTCGAGACACTCAGAAACATAAGGACCACCCCCTTGGGCAAGTTTACCCAGAGTTCAACTGTCCAGGAAGTGAGAATGAGTCAAGCTATCCCACACAATGACCCAATCTGGTGATGAAACCCAATCAACTGGATCACCACTGAGAATCCATTATCGTCCCAAGATAACAAGATTGCCATGTTTCTTTTTCTCCATCTTTATGATCTGTAGTTAATTCAGGGATGGGAAGGTCTAGCATGGGAAAGAGAGTTTTATGTCAGCAGAGTTTATTATAGCTGAGGTGGATTGACAATAACTGCAGCAATTCTCAGTCCGATGCTATCAGTGAAGTGACCCCATGAGCAGGCAGAGCATGACTTCAAGGTTATATCTACACCAACCTAGAAGCCTATATCAGGCCCCGGCTGCAGTATATGTCAGTGAAAATACCAAAATTGGAACTAATATTTCCAAATTCTTGTTATTGTTAAAACTAATGTTACAGCTTTGTAGAAATGTCTTGTATTTCACTGAACACAGAACCAATATAGAGGAAAAGTGTTAGTTTAAAACCAATTTTGCTTATTGTTTTGTCGGTCTTCCTATATCATTATACTAAATAACCTTGTGATAGGTATTCCTTTCAAGTGAGACCTACCCAGAGGTTTTACATTTGAACTGTAAGACCTAGGTTTTACAACTGAAGGTTTATAAACCTCCTTTGAGGTTTTACGTGGAGGAAAGCCTGAAGTGATGCAGGTCCCAGACCTTTACTGTTTTGGTGAAACCCATGAAAGCAACTCAGTGAATGTCTGCGCCCTAGATGCTGAAGACAATCCATGACCCCACAAAACCAAAGTATGGGTCCAGGGTAGTTATCATGATAGAATGGATATCCTACTCTTGATAATTGAGGACCCATGAAGATCCGGGGTAGAACAGGTCTTCAGCAACCCATGCTTGCCATAATAGGTGACTATGCTTGTTGTAAGAGGAGACCTAGTGGATTGGGTGGTCAGGCTCGCTGACTTGGTTGATGCATGATATCGTATCTCAATTGTGTAGATTGCTGTTCATGATGTCAATCACTGGATTGTCATGTCCAGACTTGATTACAGGCCACTATCATTTAGCCAGAATATTGCTGAGTGTGGCGTTAAACAACAAACCAACAAAAATTGAGGACGGCTCCAATGTCAAGCATGGAGAACAGTGGAACTGCCTAACCTCGTTTCTGACATTTATCAATTATATCATGAAGATACAAATATGCAGCTGGTGCGTGTTGGGAACAATTCCAATCTTCACTGATAATGTCCTTCATTAATATTGATCACAAGGGATGGCAAAGCCTGTTCTATGTCATCAACATCATCAGTCATTCCCTAGTTTGTGTGTTTTTTTTTTATGTACCTCAATTACAATCACAATCACAGATGTTACGGAAACATGGTAAATTAAAATCAGCTGTGCCATGAAGTTGGTATACATGGACAAGTGCCGTGCAGGAATGTAATCAATGTACCATGACAGTCAAAAATATTGTTGCAAATTAAATGTTAATTTGTGGGTAAACTAATCCGATTCTAACATTTAATTGACTCGGCCAAATTGCAATGATATCAAAGTCCCCCAAGAAGTGAGTCTGGATCATACAAATCAGTGGTCAACAGTGTGAGCATTAGGGCTGCAACGAATACACTATGAGGCGAATACGATTTGTATCATGGATGTAGGGTAACGATTACGAATACAATAACAAGTCAGTAGTTGATGTATTTTTTATGATATTCAGTGAAACAATAAAAAAATAAATTATTTGACATGGTTTGTTAATTATAGATTTATTATACATTCATACACTGCACTTGTCCAGGTACTTGTATCTGCTCAAATGTGACAATAACCAGTGACTACAATACTGTAAAATTAGATATAAAAGAGTGTTGTCTTTGAAGAAATCTATGCATATAATATGTTCTTATGGATATTTTAAGGGCCAGGGCATGTAAATGCACATGACTGCATATTCATAAATATTCGATTTTAGTGGCCACGAATAACAAATTCAATTCATGAATGGATACGGTTTGATTCACCGAATACGCGAGTGAATCGTAACAGCCCTAGTGAGCATCCCACCACACAATGAAGGCAACAACTCAGAGATGGTCTTCCCCGGTGATCACTCACCTGGAACCATATGATCCCTAATTTATTCATCACCATGGATACCTTAAGTTGCTACCCGACCTATTTTAGTCATCACTATGACAAGACAATGTTGATGCGAGACCTACCCTAAAGGTCAAGGTCAAGGGCAAGGTTGGGTTTTGAGATTACAAGTAAATGATAGAGTAGATGGGAGCTTACCAAAAGGTCAAGGTCAAGGTCAAGAACAAGGTTGGCATTTACAAAAGTCAGTGTTAAACCTTGGAAATTTGGAAAGTGAATTTGGGAACATAGTTTCTGTGTTTATTTGAGTAGAGGTATAAAAACTAGAGATAAACAAGGTATATGAATTCAATAATAAAACTGGAGTATGTGCTAGAAGACTCCACACTCAGCCTATAATGTCCTGACTACAAGAAGGCAACACAGGGCCACATTCAAAGACCTGTTTCCTACATACCTAGAGACAAATCCCTCGGAGTAACGATGACGTCCGTCTTGCCGTTCTGTAGTGAGATAGGAAACGGTCTGTGTATGGCATTGGAAAGGTCCCCTGTCTGGAAGATATCGGGACTGGCAGTCCCCGTGGAGGAGGCGGAGGCCCCATCCCCGCCGTTGTGGTGCAGTCCCGGGCGTCCTTGCTCCTCATAGTCGGCTATCAACTGCAGGGCAACAGTGAATGAAGTATCATGAGGGGTGTGGAAAAGTACTGTCTGTGATCCTGTCACCTAAATAATCAACTGATGACCCGACTGGCCCAAATCTAGTGAATGTTGTCTCTATGTCTCTGAGCTTTTCTGAACTTGTCTGAACATGTCTGAACTTGTTTGAACTTGTCTGAACTTGTCTGAACATGTCTGAACTTGTTTGAACTTGTTTGAACTAGTCTGAACATGTCTGAAGTTGTATGAACATGTCTGAACTTGTCTGAACTTGTTTCAACATGTCTGAACTTGATTGAACTTGTCTGAACATGTCTGTACTTGTTTGAACTTGTCTGAACTTGTTTCAACATGTCTGAACTTGTTTGAACTTGTTTGAACATGTCTGAACTTGTTTGAACATGTCTGAACATGCCTGGACATGTCAGCAGCATCTCAGGTCATTAGAAACTGATTTTCATCAGCTAAGTCTACTGGACAAAGAGGTAGCATCATGTTTCATGACAAGGTCCGGGATGAGAAGCAAAAATACACTGAAAGTTAGACAGGGGTCTGTGGGACTATACCATTTATGAGTATATTGCAATGGCATGTATCACAAAAGTGACCCCTGACATAACAAAATCTTAGATATTCCAGGAAAATTCTCATCCCTGCATGGCTGTGTCAATTTTGAAAAATGATCCCAATACATAGATCACAGTAAAATTCAGTCGGCCCTCTAATCAAGATTACAATAGTAGCTAGTTTCTTGGGTACAGTAAGCAATTAGCTCCTCAATGGCAGCATTTGACTCATATCAAAGGTAACCATCAAGTAAGCAAGATTTCTCGTTACTGATTGTTCGTACAGCTGATGACCACGTCACCATGAACCTCCACGTACCTGCTCTCTGTCGTCCACCACATCATTGAGCTGGTCATCAGGGTCAAGGATACCGCCTCCACTAATGGCCTTGACATTGTGGACAGACACCCAGTGGTTGTTGCTCTGCAAGGAGAAATGGTTGCTCATAATACTATCATCATCAATTGCTCGTTGGATATAAATGTCATCATCATCATCAACATTTTCATCATCATCATCATCATCATTCTGTTCATCAAATGCTTTTTTATAAACGTCCTTAAAAATCATCATCATCATCATCATCATCATCATCATCATCATCATCACACATGTAAAAGCTTCAGTGAAAATCAAATTTGTTAACATGTTTAACAAGAAAAAAAATTAAAGTCAAAGAATTATTAGATTTGTAAATTTATAAAAACAACTATTTCAAATTTATATATAGTAACATTTACAACAATGACGGTCACAAGCTTCAATCATGTCAAGTAAGTCATTTGTGTCAATTATGTCAATCAATATAAAGCAATGCTTTAACAACAGTGTGAAAGCAGTAGGGCAAATAGCATCCATTATTGAGTCCAGAGGTCGGCTTATTGAACTCCAGACACAGGAAAAGAAAGGGACTGCTGGCTGATTGATTAAGACATCTTGAGACTCCTAAATAATGTAGTTTATCTTCTTTCCTGTTGAGAATGGTCAATGCGCATAAATGACTATTTGTTCTTCAAACACTAACAAACCTTTTGTTAATTTACAAGATAATCAGAATATTACAGTTATTGTTTTTGTAATTGATATATTCATTGTTAAAAAAATTGTCATGAACTTAATTTCCGATGAGAGAAATTAAGAGGACTGGGACTCACATATACATGATTTTAATTTATCTTCTTACATACTAAAAATGCTACAAGTCTGTTGATACAATTGATGGCGAGGCCATTTCCTTATTCCTGACAGATGACTACTGTAATAGATGTCTATTTCCTACATAATGATTGACATATGCAGTTGATAAGCCAGATGAGGAAGTGTAGATTTCACCTGGATAATATAAACTTCCCCATACATAAAGGTTATCTACAATAACAGCTTACCGTGAGTTTACACATTCAGGTCTGATCTGTGAATATTGCAGAAGCTATTTTGTTAACTTGAACACAGTATGTCATAAATAAAATCTAATCGTGGACATCTAACCATATCAGCATTAGAAATTGGCACTAGTGATCTTTAGTCCTTACCAAACTGACCATTAGTTTGGGTATCATAAGGACTAGTAGAAAATTGACATTCTTTAGGGTTTTGCTATTTGTTATCATTATAAGGACAAATAATATGTGGGCTAAAACAGTTTTTATCACTGCATTTATCATCATCATCATCAAACCAACCAACCAACCAACCAACCAACCAACCAACCAACCAACCAACCAACCAACCAACCAACCAACCAACCAACCAACCAACCAACCAACCAACCAACCAACATCATCATCATCATCATCATCATCATCACCAACCAACCAACCAACCAACCAACCAACCAACCAACCAACCAATCAATCAAAACCATAATCATCATCATTGTCATCATCATCATAACCATCAACATCAGCATCAATCATCATCATCATGCCGTAGAAATTCTCAGGAGTCAAGCTTCCCGAACACAACACGAGGGTGGAATTCTATTTATCATCATCATAAATCATTCTGTAAAGTTTTTCAGGTTATAGCCTGAGTAAAAAGCATAGGGTTGTGTAAACAAAATACATCTAACCATCTATAATGTCAGAGAGTTTAGTAATGTCATCTGATTGTGACGAAAGGGCAATCAATGATATCAATATGGCCTGCAAAACTTGGTGATGCAATGTCATTGCAGTGAAATCTCCAAGGAGATGGCCTTGATTTCACCCATGTGACATCTCAGTTCGAAGCCAGTTCTGGATGACAAATGGCCAATCTGCGACTTCAGCCATGTACCCAGACACAACAGAAATAACAGCTGCTTTTGGTCTGGTCACATGAAAGCTTATCCAGTGACACTTCAAATGTGCACACAACAATCTATTGAATGATACCAAAGGACAAGTTCCACCCAAAAACTCTTATAAAAGATGGCAAAAATGGACCACGCTGGTTGAAATACATGTGCACAAATGGCAAATCAAAAGTCATATTCAAATCAGTGCAATTAAGCTGCCGCTCCTCAATGGCTTGACTGAACTGACTGCACTGGTCTCTCATTATACATGGTTTATGAGATACAACTATTTGGCTGTGATCTCCACACTGCAGCCTATGGAAAGTCACACTGACATACACATAGCGCATTGACACAAGGGATAATGGCAGTAATTGGTGTAATTAGCCTGTGAATATCAGTCATCACTGCTGCATGCTATCTTACATCATATGTATTACAGTACAGTGGTGACAGGTGCTTGTAACAAGGTGGGCTAGTATCAGTCATCACTGCTGCATGCTATCTTACATCATATGTATTACAGTACAGTGGTGACAGGTGCTTGTAGCAAGGTGGGCTAGTATCAGTCATCACTGCTGCATGCTATCTTACATCATATGTATTACAGTACAGTGGTGACAGGTGCTTGTAGCAAGGTGGGCTAGTATCAGTCATCACTGCTGTATGCTATCTCACATCAAATGTATTACAGTACAGTGGTGACAGGTGCTTGTAGCAAGGTGGGCTAGTATCAGTCATCACTGCTGCATGCTATCTTACATCATATGTATTACAGTACAGTGGTGACAGGTGCTTGTAGCAACGTGGGCTAGTATCAGTCATCACTGCTGCATGCTATCTTACATCATATGTATTACAGTACAGTGGTGACAGGTGCTTGTAGCAAGGTGGGCTAGTATCAGTCATCACTGCTGCATGCTATCTTACATCATATGTATTACAGTACAGTGGTGACAGGTGCTTGTAGCAAGGTGGGCTAGTATCAGTCATCACTGCTGCATGCTATCTTACATCATATGTACTACAGTACAGTGGTGACAGGTGCTTGTAGCAAGGTGGGCTAGTATCAGTCATCACTGCTGCATGCTATCTTACATCATACGTATTACAGTACAGTGGAGGTAGCCTGTTTGAAGGCCATCATCAGTGCTGCATGCTGGGTAGGTAGTGTGTTGTAGGGTGCATGCTGGGTATAGGGTCAGTCGTAGGTTAGGTGCTTGAAGCAGGGATGTAGGGTGGGTTATAGGGTGCTGGGTAGGCAGTGGGTTGTAGGGTGCAGAAAGGTATAGGGTCAGTCGTAGCTTAGGTGCTTGAAGCAGGGACGTAGGGTAATGCCTGGTGGGTTATAGGGTGCTGGGTTGGCAGTGGGTTGTAAGGTGCAGGGTGTAGAATACAGTATATGTAGGTAGGAGGGTTGTAGGGTGCACGGTGTGGATGGTTATAAGGAGGGATGATTGCAATATGCAGTGTGGTTGCGAAAACATGGAGGGTTGTAGGGTGCACACAAAATCACACTGGGCCATGTCCCAGCAGTTCTTCATTCAAGACCACCAGTGTTTTATGAACCTGGAGTTTGACAGTATCGAGTTGCAGCACCAAGAAGCATACCCCACCAGTCGCAGCCCGAACTCAGTCAGTCAGGTGCAAACCTATGACTAATACATGTCGTGTTCATGTCAGACTGGAGAGTATTTCATCCACACTGGCAACACACACAGTCAGAGGATGTAGCTGAGAGAGAGGTGTGTGCATGCGTGTGAGACATCCTAGATCCATGCAATCTCTTTCTTGCAAGGTGATACCATGTAAAGCATGGCATGAATGAGTGTGAGGGTACTAGGGAACATAAGGCCACACATTTTATATTTTTCGTTTCACGGACCCGCTGCCCTTACTGAAAAGCAGCTGTAAAAGAAATAAATTAAACATAAAAGTATTTATTTTTATCACGTCTCCCATAAGTAATATAGACCCTCTCATACAATATAAAATGTTCTACAAAAATCACTGGCTGAATCACTGTCAGTGATTCAAGAAGCCAGCTGCAGTTTTAACTCCACGGAAGAAAGACTTTCATATAATTAAATAATTGACTGACATCGCTATTTATTTTGATTTTGATTTTGACCGACCTTGTGTGGAAAAGACTCATTAATCTGTGAAACATAACATTTAAAAAGTGTAGCCTAAACTCTGATAAATCATAGATGCAGCCGTTATAGCTGGCAGTGGTGACAACCTTACCATTGAGATAGGACTCCTTGCTGTTAATGCAATCGGTAACTTTAGCCACTAGTCTGAAGTCTGTGTCTAGTAAGAGTCTGTTTGGTCCAGTAAGCTCAGCTAATAATAGCTCACATAATAACACTAAAATCTTCTGAAAATGATCCCAATGAGCCATGTGTGGGCTAGTAGTCTCAAACAGTTTTGGCACAGACTGTTAATGGCAATCAAATACTGGGGTCCGCATTATGAACATCCTAGTCTGTCTCACAGTCCCTGAACCCTATTATTTTCCCTTTCGGACAGCCCTTAATGTAATGCTGAATCTCTAAATGAAGCAAGTATAGATTTTCCACAGGTTCAGGAAACTCCAATCTCCCTGGGGCTCCTTCTCAATTTAGATGTGGTTGCTTACTTCTATCAAAATTATATATTTCAAAGACTAAGCGTTAGTCTAATAACATTCTATCTACCACCTTTAAATTTTGTATTTTGCATCCAAATGCCCTCAAAAGCCATATTGCAAGGTGCAATATGTCACCTACATTATATGTACAGTCTATGTAAGCCAACCTCCAACTATGGAATGTTCATACCATGCTCTGAGGCATTCAGTTTATGCTGATGTGCTATCTACAAGTCATACACGGATATTGATTTGATATGTACATGATATATACCAGCCTTCAGCTAACACAACCAGTCAATATAACAGTCAATGAAACATCAACAGTGAAATATACCATCAGGACACAGATCTTAGTTTAATCCCAGTCCTGGTGAGGTGAGGTGATGGTGAGGTGAGGTGATGGTGAGGTGATGGTGAGTGATGGTGAGGTGAAGTGATGGTGGGGTGATGGTGATGTGATGTGATGTGATGGTGAGGTGAGGTGAGGCGAGGGTGAGTTGAGGTGAGGGT